GACTGTCGCGGTCTAAATGCAAACGATCCGACCTTTTCAAACAGTCAATCTAAAGTCATTTTTAGAATGTCTGAGGTTCTTGTATTGTCTTGAGTTTATAAATCTTCAATGATAAGCTTTGCTGATTGAGATTAATTGTGTCATTTAAACTTGAAAAAATTGTGTGCAAGTGACTACATTCAACGTCAGCAGCCATCTTGAAAGTCATTGAGAGTGGATGACGTCATTCTTCTGCACGTGCGCTCATTCACTCGCCCATTATGGAAAAATAATGCCGAGTAGCAAAGCGGCCGAAATTGCATAATGACCTAGATCTTGCCATATCGGCCCTGAAATACCCTAGATTTTGTTACTATATATAGTAACATAGGTATTATTGCAACATATATCATACTGCTATAAGGAATACTTGTAACGATGTCGATTTAACTGGTTTACACAATATAATATTTGCTGAGCGTTTCTGCCATTAATTCAACTTTTTCCCAAATCCAGGTTTGTCACAACGTTACGCTGGTCTCCAAATTTAAAACAACAAAATTAAAAACAAGGTAAACTATAGGCACTGTACAACATTTCTTTCATTTCGCGGATTAAACGTGTGACATACGATTTAACAGAGCAATACGTTTTTGATTTATTTTCAGAACGTGCTTTATTTGTAAATGCTATTTTATACTTCATCAAAATCTCATAAATTTTAATGTGATTTCGTTTTTTAGCTAAATACTACCCTATATTTAATTTCTAATGAAGGTTTTGGATTTCAGTTTTTTTCTGACCCAATTACCACACACATGTGGTCTTTTTCGTATCTAAAATAACATCCCAATAGAAATTCCTACCATGAACATTTTACATATAACGATATACATCAGCTTCATTTTACCTAATTTGCATAATAAATTACTGAAGGAACTATATACCATCACCATCAATGTCTTGTTTCTGTATTAGATTATATGGACTTAGTAAAAAGTAGCCTATATGTTTACATATAAATTAATATTACTTTGAAAGGACGGTAGAAAAGATAAGAACAGAACAGAACAAATACTTTATTAAGATTTGTACATTGTACATCATCTATAATACAATAATATTTACAAGCATAACGTCAATACAATGGTAATAGCAAGTATGACATTTTCAAAATTCTTAATCTTAATTTATCTAGTAACAAGAAAATGAAATAATAAATATGTATACTACAAATTAAAAAAGTAAAGACATACAAACAGGAGAATGAGCAATAATGATGTTTAACGCTCAACATTTAACAGTGTGTTTCTCAAAGCAAGTGCTTCTTTAACAAATTTGGATAACTGAATTAATTCATATTTACTATTTGAGTTCAATAATTGTAAAAATTTATAAACTGATGGATTTCTGGTATATTTAATTTTCAAATATTTTTTTCTTAACTCTAAGCAAGAACTTCTACCAATAGTCCTTTAAAATGACAAAACGGGAGGGAAACTTACACTAAATGTATTTATAAGGATTCTATTTCAAGCAGCATGTATATTATATAACATAAAAGACAAAAATAAAGCTGAAACAAAAATTAAGAGGGTGTTATTTTCGTTTGAGTGAAATACGATATATATAATTATATACTCGTCTTTTAAAATACATACTGGTCGTTTTGTTTATAATGGATACATATGTACACTTGTATTAAATATTTTATTACCTCATTCAAATTTATATTATGTAACTAGGTTATTTATTAATTTATACATGTAACCATAATTTCTTTACATATTCAGATTCAATGTTTGTTACTGCCGTGGTCCGGAATGAAAACACACAAACGCGCTCGCAAGCATGCGCACATTTAGAAGTTTAACATGAACGCAGCTTCTTTGTGTTTTTCATGATTTATCAGACATTGTAAGTAAAAGAGGTTATAAAACACTTGTATGATTGAACTTCTTTTTTTTTCTAGCATTTCAAGTTGTGATTTATGATTGAGATGATTCGATCGTGTGGCTAACATTTAAAGCAAATAATTAATGCAGCAAAACTGTAAAATAATCTATTAATTGTTGATAAATTGACATATGAAATATGAAATTGGGAAAATAGAAGAGCATAAAATTCTGAGATAACATGATTATTTCACTCATACCAATAAAAATGAGAGTGTGCGCTGATTGATTGAATTTCATCCTCGGAAGTATAAATTAGTGTTTGCCCTAGATTTTTGTCCTAAAATAGCTGTATGAAGGAAAAATGCTTGTTAATTTACTATAGAGCGAATGAAAATGCACAGAAACGTTTTTTTCAATGGGGGGAAAAACTACTAAAAAAGCACATTAAATATTTTGTTTTGTACCTTTTTCTTTATAAAAAAAAACTTTTAAAAGGGGTTTAATTTTTCACCCTTTTAAAATGTGTGTTTATCCCAATATACAAAAAAAAATTTTCAGGGAAATCCGGGCAATTTTAAATGAACCCTGACAATTTTAACTAGACCCCCATCCAACGGGAACATTCCTCCCCCAAAAACTTTTTAAAACGAAATTAAACTTGTTATTATACCCAGTTTTGAACCCCAAAAAGTTGATCTTTCAAAAAAAGCAACATTTTGTCTTTTTCCTACCAGAACCCCATCGTTATACACGGTAACCAGGAAAAAATATATTCCGAATTTCCCGGGTTCGTCCAGTCATTGCACATTGTAACCCCTCTGACAAATATCATTTCAATCGCTGTGTGACACAAGTACCATTTCAAACCAGAATCTTTTAATTCAATGAAGGAATGGCTTTTAAGATTTTTCTAATAAGATATAACATGAGTTGACTTGAAAAGATAAACAGATATGAGTACTGAAGTCATAACGCGATTTTTCTAATAATGTAAGCATGCCGACTTAGTGAGACCTCATAAAGTGCCGAAATAAAGAGGTTTCACCTAGTAAGGCCATTTATTTATAAGACATTTGACCATAATAACAAAATTATTTATGCTTCAAATAAATGTATCAGAGCTAACTATCATAAACTAAAAAGACAGTGGTGATATCAACGCCTAAGTAATATTTTATTGTAATGATTTAATACACTTGTATAATTATTGTCATACAATTGATAGTTTATTACCAACTCAATCCGAGGGATCTGTTGTCGTTCATTGTAAGGTGAACAACCGTATCTGTTGAACTGGAACACAACAAATTAATCTCCCATTTAAATCCTCATAATTACTTAATAACAATACAAGCAGGTTCTGCGATCAATTGTGTCGCTCTGTTATTTATTGGTATGTTGTAAGTAATATCCTGAAGTTAAACTGTAAATAATTTGTCGTTTTTTTTCGATTCACTGAAAAAATGCGGTTATTTACCGACGATATATAATAAATTATGATTTATATCATGTTAAAAGCTTGTGTTTCATTGTGATTAAAACAGTGTGATGTGATAAGTCAGAACGGACATAGCGCATATTATAGGCACATTCTTATTGCAAATATGATGTGCCTTCTATCTACAGATATTTTGTAAATAAATAAGGATAATTCGTTAGACCTATTACATGAATATGAGCGGATGTCAGTGACATGAAGGTGAAATGAGGGAAAATAGCTCATAATTCAGCATCACTTGTAACTTTGTTAACATATATCTTCTTCAGTTTAGTAACTTATAGCTAGCATCGTTGTGAGAAAAACAGATTTAATATAAATCATTATTAATATAATTCAGAAATTCTTATCTTACGTTAACAGAAAAGGGTTTACCTGTGTATTTAGATATTCAGTTACAGTTACACGTCTGTTAGAGAGACATTATACCCATCTAATTGAATAGGTAAAAAATTGAGACACATGACTCCTGTGTATAACCATATTGATTTATTTAGTGTTGCTATAGGTAGGCTAAATTTGTATTTTCTTTATATGTGTTTTTGGCTATTTCAAAAGAAGTTGTACATAAATAATGGCACGAAATTTCGTACTGTTTGTTCCGTATTTCGAGTAATTTATAATCAAGATATATCATATATACTAGCAATAATACCGTAAAAGTGAACTCATTTGTTTTACACAGGTGTAAAAATTAAACAACATGTACTCGATGGGTTTTATTTACACTTAAGAACAAAATGCTGCTCATATTAAAATCATCAAATGTCTAAAAATGACAACTAAAATGTGAAACTAAAACTATAAAGATTATAAAACTGGAATGTATTTTACTAAGTGCAAGCGACAAACTATAAGAAGCAATGGTTGGTAGATCAGGCACTGCCAAAAAAAGCAGGACAAAACTGTATATAGATATATATGCAATTTTCATTCTAATATTTATGCTTACAGCACAGTTCCCAGTTACTGTACATAATATTTGTCGAAAGTAAAGAAGTGATATTAAAAAAAAACAAGGCAACTTCACACAAATACTGGACTGGCTAGATTTGTTTTAGTTGAGATATTCAATTGCATATTTATAGTTTAAGTATGCATAGAATATCTTTAATTTCCAATCAAGGATCATGTTATATGACATATAAATCACAATAATACTGAGATCAATGATCAAATAAAGATAAACATAGCACTTGTATAATGGCAATAACAATGAAATTAAAAAAATCAAAATGACCTATAAACTAAATGTTTCTACCTAGACTTAAGTATTCAACATCATATTAAACATATTATGATACATAACTGTACTGTTGTATCTAATTTGAAGCCTTTTTTAAAATTACAAGTTTTTACAAAGAAAAGATAAAGATTATACCTTTAGTGTGGCTCTACTGTAAAGAAGCATTCTAGTTAAATAAACTAACCAAAATATACAGTAGGTGATAATCAATAATGAACCACACAGTACAATACACATGTTTCTGAAAAACACAAAACACTGAGTTACATTAATTTACATTCTCTCAGTCTTATAAATTAATTTGCTTATCTTAGACATGTTTTCAAAGTTCAAATTTTATATCTTTTATTGCATAATACAAAAAGTACATCCCCCTTTACAGAGATAACGATAAGTTGTATGTCTCGTTCATGAACATCTTATCTATAAGATTGTGGTTTAACATGGATGTAAAGATGAGATGTTCACTGTTATTCACGGTTTTCTCTCTTGTATTATTTCAAAAAGGTTTGTCACTTTGGAAAATACATTGTATAGCTGTAATATTTCATTTAACTGTATTAATAAATTAAATCAATATATTTTTGTCAAAATTTTCAAATAGATTTAAACTTTTTTAATACTAACAAATGCCTCAGAAAAAAGTGAACCACTCTGACAATAAACTACTGCAATCGTTGAAGATTTGAAGCATTTATATATTTCGTTATATGTCACTGTTCTTCCTTGCCATGATATAACCTGGCTACAAACTAATGTGAAATATCATTAAATAAAGAACTATGTCAGGATTGCTCCGTTTTATAATAGCAGTACTTTAACCTTACTTTAAAGATATACTATGCTCATCCTTGAGTTAAATATTTCAATCATGGAAAGAAATTTATTGAAACCTATTAAATTCTTACTGAATATGTCTAATTTGAATAAAAGAAAGAATAAACTATGTAGGGGAAGCTGCGTTCCCTGTAATAGGTAGAGTAAAGTACGTACTTTAAAAACTGTCAAGTTTTTTTCAATGACTCTATATTTGATATTCAACCCCCTACAGTATGTAGAGTTTTAAATATACGAGTATCAAGTTCGTTTGGAGTTAAGACATGTTTATGTTTATTATTTTACAGAAATTACGAGTATCAATATTTTCTAATATCAATTTTGAGCATAGTATAGCTTTATGTCAAGTAAATTTTATATAAGTACTCGTATATACAATGTTTTCGATATATTCATATCCCACAATTCCATGTTCAATTGTGTTCAGAATTTAATGAAATTGGAAATTCATTCCATGATAAGGTAGCAACATTAATAGAAATCTGTGGTTATTTTATCATTAATTATTTATGTTGTTATTAGGGAATAGTGAGTGCAACAACATATGTCCTGTTGGCTGGACTAGGTTCCAGGGATCATGCTATTTCGTTGGCTTCCAACAACTACTTTCATTCGTTGAATCAGCGGTATTACAATTATCTAAAAAATCAGTTTTAATTAGTTCATGCTTTACAAACGAAACCATACCATTGCAGGAGAAAATGTAGATTGATAAATTATTTACATCCGTATTTGTTTGAAATGAAAATATCATTTTTCTATTTTGTCCTTTTTTTTTAGTATATACATGTAATTATAGCTCAGGGTTGACATTAATGTCTAGTAAATTTAACAAATTCCCTCGTACAATGCCACAATAAAGTGCATTTATTTAAACCTTTAAACCCTTTCTTCGTTTTGCCTTTGTAAAAGCGTTAATGAAGGCATCCGGGAGAATTTCACATTAAATTCTAAAATGAGTTCAGGAAAAAAAAAACAATGAAAGAATGTGTTACTATTCCACAATATTTATAGGTTTACCTTGTCTTCATTTCAGCATTTCTGTAAACAGCACAATTCACATCTTATACATGTGGACAATGCTCTGGAAAATACATTCATTAAGGACTATCTGCACAAGACAAATGGTATGTTAAAGTGAAAAGTGAAATGGTCTTCAACCGGCGTAGTTTATAATAGTAATACTGGACAAAACATTTTACTAAAACAACAAAATTATCGCAAAATGATAAGCTGATACTGTGTTCTTCTTGATACCATTGTTTACCTTAGTAATAAAACTTTGAAAGTCACCACTTTAAACCCCATGAATTGTCTAACGACCTATAAATCATAATACGTTTTAAAATATCAACATTATGCTACGTTTTACACCATGTTCCCGATGGCCAAAATAGGCCTATTTTTCCAAAACCTATTCGGTCGTGTAATTTTGGCCATTTGCGCGACTCGCGTTTGTCCTAACATACGATAACTAAACTGTCATATGAATAATGCTACATTTTGGTGAATAAATTAGACTTCAAATTTGCTCCCAATATTTTAGTTCTACGTAATGTTATCAATCAAATTTATGCAAACGGTTTACGTTAACACATACACACTGTTTACAAGTGGTACAGAGGATTTCTGATAGCATCACTTCAGAAGACATTTATTATTTTGAAGTGACATTTATCTGTTGCAATAAAAAAAATAAAACGGGCAAACTAAATGTTTTTATTTGTTTGGGTCGTCAGCTTTGGAAGCGAGAGGTCTTGAGTTCAAATCAATTCAGGAAACTTTTTTAAGCCAAATAAACATTGAATTGAATATCAGTGCAGTGTGCCAATTTGTCTTGTAGCCAATTTACTATAGTTACAACACTGGAAACATGCAGCATTGGTGACACTATACAAACAAATTGGTTTATAATCTCACAACCTTCACCGTTCTGACATTCTGAGACCCAAACAAATTCAGCGCCTTCTGTGCTTTGATTTAATGTATTTACCATGTGAATGTTTGTTGCAGCTGGGAGGTCGTGGCTGGGTATGAGTGACATGGATATTGAGGGTATCTGGCGATGGTATGATAATAATGAAATAGTGAGTTTCACAGATTGGTATCCGGGACAACCAGATAAAGGAGACAACGAAGATTGTGCAACATTTGCCGAATACCACTCTGATCATGCTTATCTTTGGGAAGACTACCCATGTGATCGCAAGCATCACCCAGTTTGTGAGATAAAGTAAATGTTCTGTAATTAAAATGTTATGGTCAATATATGATTAATTATTTCATGTCCAAATTGAATTTATAAATAAGTTTGGTCATCAATCACTAGACTGTATACATGTTTTGTTTGTTTGTTTGATTGGGTTTTATATCACATCGACACAGTATAGGTCATATCGCCGCGTTCCAGCTTTACTGGTGGAGGAAGACCTCAGGTGCCTTTCTGTGCATTATTTCAGGCACGAACGGACACCTGAGTAGAACCACCGACGTTCCGTAAGCTAGCTGGATAGCTTCCTCACATGAAAGAATACAAAGTCCCTGTCGGGAGTCGAACCCACAACGTTGAGGGGCAAGTGGTTTGCCTTGTAAACATGTACAAGAGCCTTAATCACTGATAAAAAAAATATACTGAAAACAATCACTTTACCTAATTTTTTTGTTTCATATACTTTCTTTTTCAGTGTTTGTACTGAGACAGAAATTATCGGATGATCCTTTCAAACCAAATTGAAACTACCTTTATAATATATAAACTATACGATGCTTATATTTTGTTTGGGAAATATTTGAGATGGTTTTCATGTACATTTTAGCTGGAAAAAAAATAATAAAAACAAAAAACTAAAACTGTTCTGTGTTGTTTCAAACTACCACAAACGTCACTGGCGACTTATAAATTATAGTTTTGAAGAAGGAATAGCAGTGATATTGTACACTATTTTCAAAAGTTCACACACAATATCACTGTTAAGCCTTCTTCAAAACAGCGTCCCGAAAGCTATAATTTAAATGTCGCATGTGACGTTCGTGGTAGTGGTAGAGGTGGTGGTGGTGGCGGGAGCAGCAGCAGTATCAGTGGCAGAAGTAGTGGTAGACGTAGTGGTAGTAGTAGTTGTGTTGTTGGTGGTAGTGGTACTAGTAGTAGTAGTGGTAGAACTAGTAGTGGTAGTGATAGTGGTAGTGGTGGTAGTGGTTGGGGTAGTGGTGAGGGGTAGTAGTGGTAGTGGTGGTAGTGATAGGTGTAGTGGTAGGGGGAGTGGTGGTGTTGGCGGTGGTAGTGGTAGTAGTAGTAGTTGTGGTGTTAGTGGTAATGTAGTGGTGATAGTGGTATTGGTTGTAGTGGTGGTAGTTTCACAATATATTTACAGTCATGACACCCTGGGGTTATTTTATTGTTAAAAATGTCTGCACGAACGTTTGAATGATATAGCTTCTTTTCGTCTATGTGAATTTTTTACACGTAAGTTATAAACTAATGAGAAGACATGGACAATAAGTATAAATGAACTTATCATCCGTAATCTTAACAAGTAATAAACCTACTACTAAAAACTGCTCATCTTATCATACATATACGGATGTATTTCATGTACTTTAGGGGACATATAGCATATTTCTTTTATGTATAACAGAAGTGTCTTGTGTTCATAAAAGGACTAATTTTAGATTACTTTCATATAAATAAAAGAACATAAAAAAGTCCAACAACAACACGTATTTTATCAAATCTATTAACGAGCCCAAATTTTATTGACGCATTTCATTAAATAGCTTTATCAGAATAATAACACGTTAAATGCGGGAGCATAGTCCTTTGCTGGCAAAATAAAACGTAAATAATTTAAATAATTATAGCAAAAACACCGCACCTAATGACCAGAGCTAGTGATGCAAGATCACAGGCAGGTTATAAATTTAGTTTGTATATTTACGTTACGCAAATCAGGAACATATCATTGCTATGAATTAACTGACATTTACTGCAGATATTATAAGGTAATGTTGGACTCAATTAACGTCAGGCAAGACTATCACAAATCTTGATAATAGTACACGCTTCCAAACTAGCCGGCCGAGAGGAAAATGTTGTCATTGTCATGCCGAATTGTGCATTCGAGCTTTACGATTGTCTGATATTAGGTAACATTTTTAAAGAAAAGAAATATCACTCTTTCATTATAAACATGCCTTTATTCTTTACGTACTTTTATGCAAAATTGGGACGTTAAATTGAATTGGTTAATAATAAGATGGTATCTAATACAATAAATAATTATGTTGATGGTGTCAAGTTTCAGACATACGGAAGAGCATTAGTGCCAAGTGTATGTTTTTTATTAACTCGAAATTTCGAGTTACTAACTCGAAATTTCGACTTACTTATCTCGAAATTTCGAGTTACTTACTCGAAATTTCGACTTACTCACTCGAAATTTTGAGTTACTTATCTCGAAATTTCGAGTTACTCACTCGAAATTTCGACTTACTAACTCGAAATTTCGACTTACTTACTCGAAATTTTGAGTTACTAACTCGAAATTTCGAGTTACTTACTCGAATTTTCGACTTAGTAACTCGAAATTTCGAGTTAATAAAAAACATACACCTGACACTCATGCTCTTCCGTACAGACATAACAACAAAGCACAAAATAGTTATGAATTAATCTTGGTAAATGTGATATTAGTGATATTCATGATTCGATATTACATTTATTTATATAGCAGATAACAAAAAGGTTATAAATTACATGTATTCATCATTTAAATGTTAATACTCAATCTCTTTACCAAAAGTTTATTTTCAATCAACAATATTTTATAAGAATATCCCCGTGATATATATTTATTGCTTTCATAAATATTTGAAATATATATTTTTGAAAAATGTGCCAATTGTAGACCAATCCACTTTAAACTAGTAATTTATAGGATAGAAAAGATAACAATGTGTTAGTTGCATAGAAAAGGGTTTCTATTATTGACAGACAGATAGGAGATGATATCATTCACTATGACCAAAATGCACTATAAATGATGCAATTAACATGAATTAATTTTATAGCTTCTTTCTTCCCCTAAACGTCGCAGAGAAGGCACGGGGCATCGTCAGATGATTTGCAGCTTGGTAGGTATATAACTATAAACTACCCAGTTCTTCGGTACATCATCTTTGTCGTCTACGACTGAAAACCACCTGCTGATTTGTTCTCTAAAGCCAAGGTGAGTGACACGATTTGGCAGGCAGGCCGAGATAAGTGTGCTAGGATGTGTGAGCTCCTTATTCAGAGTGGCGGCTTTAAAGGCAGGCACTTTGCTGGCGTAACATTCTTTTCCAGGGCTACCTATTTCGTATTGTCTTAGGTTACTGTACAATTAGGTTTTAATTGGCCCCCGTGAATTGATCAATTTTTTAGGCTAAACATTTCTTTCTTTTTATTTTTGCTTATATTGCGTGGACATTGCATGTGGGTACATTGGCAGCATTTTGCAATTCAAAATAAACCATTTAATGACATGGATGGTCTTAAATTGCCAGTTGGAGTATACACTGTTTGTCTATAAAAACAATTTTAGGTTGATATTTTTTCACAAAAGTTACCTATAGCTTAAATATGTAAAAGCTAGTAATATTAGGTAACGCAGTATTAAAGTGTATTCTGATAATTATAGGGACATACACTAGATGTATTTCGTGTATATAAAGGGGTGCATTTTAGGTAATATTTCGGAAATGTTTAGTGTCACATGTGGACTTACTTGCGTATCTTAATAACGGATATTGAATATTGTAACATAGTTTGTAATTTGTATACTCAGTATATATGATTTGTAATCATATATGATTTAAATTATCTCCCAATCATTGCCAAACATTGTCTGTGTCTAAGTTTAAATTTTAATTCGATAAATATGAAGAAAATCTCAGCAATAATATAGTATCATGTCCTATTTAACGTCGTATATTACCGGCTAAAATAGCTTTATATAGTCGTAAAATAGGGACATATATGACATGCTTGATATGTATGCTCTATATTTTTCAATTATCAAATATATACTTGATAACATAGTCATGTTAGGTTATTCGAGACGAGATAAATCTATTATAATACTCCCGTAGGTATGGCAGATTGTAGAGTAAATCTTACTTCGTGTTTTGTAATATGAAAATATTGCTCGTATATATGAAGTATAACGGTGAAATATTGTCACACAAACTTCTCTAGAGAAACATATCTTTCTTATAAATGTCATCCGAGATATGTATATTCCGTTATAAAACAGTTCTCAATTACAAACAACCGGAAGCCGTTAGGTTCTGTCCCGTGAATCAGTCTAGAAACGGCACTTAAAATACGTCTGGTAAATTTATCGTTATTTAAGAATTATGAAAAAACGCACTCTTTGTAACACTATAAGTTTATTAAAATTGTATTGTATATTTTGTACATGATTAATTTACACAATTTAACATCATTATCTTAAGCACATACAAAAGCATTGCACCAAATGTTACACTGTCGTGTGTATAGAATTGGCGTTCCCGTTTTGTTTTTGTTTTTTACTTATTCTGGAAATTTCGTCTGGCTTGGGGTGTCAGATGAGTTGCGTGCTTTACAAAGGCACGCTTAGGGTGAAGTAACTTTACCGTTTTGAATGAAGTAATTTCATACGCTGTTTGTAAAAAAATAGTTACGGGTGCAATGGCATAAATTTCCATGGACATTTATTTTATTAGTATAAAGAGTTTAAAATATTATGAAATATGAGTATGCAAAAAATAAATCTGATCGGAATATCCGTCCCTCGAGAACATGTCCATGGGCGGGAACTAGGCAAACAGATATCCCACCGACTCGTGTTAAAATGTTTAAAGCTACTGATAGATGGCAATGACACAGCAAGGTGAAGCCAGGTTTTGATCCCCTAATGTCTATAACTGTCACAAAGAACTGGTTACAGAATAGAGAAAATCTTAATTTCTAAAATTGCCATATCGATGTAAAATGATGTTCATATATTAGAATGTTACCTTCAGAAAATAAAATAATCATCATCATCCTCATCATAATCATAATCATTATTCATCATCATTATCATCATAATAATCATACCAATCGTCTTATTTATTCTTTATTATCGTCTTTATTCTTATCGTCATCATAATCGTTATCAACAACATCATTATCATTATTGTCATCATCTTTATCACCACCATCATCATTATAATTTGAATCAGCAACCTTATCATCATCATCATCATTATTATTATCATCAAAACCATCATCATCATTATTATCATCAGCATCTTGACTATTATCACCATTATCAAAATCATCATCATTTTTATCAAAATCATCATCATTTTTATCAAAAGCATCATCATTATTATCATCAACATCGACCATTTTAACCCTTCGTTAGAAAATAAAATACCTTTACTTTTCAACAATTTTACTATTGATAAAAACACATACATCTAGCTTTTTTGTCGTCATGACAGGGGAAGTGTACACTGAATTAATGGTCAGTAATTTCAGAATGCAATAACAGGAAAAATATGCAAATATGTATTCCCACAGCGGACATCAATTTGCCGTGTATCCATTAGTTGATATTGTAATTTTATACTGTCGATTATTCAATCATTGTTTGAATACAAAATGTTTATTAAATTGTCGTATGGATGAGACATACTAGTACATGCTTCTTTAACCTGTTGTTACAGTTTGTAACAGTACTATGCTGAAATCGTATAAATGTACCATAGATAATGTAAACAAACTTAACTCTGTCCGTGAGGAAGTTTATTGTTATATGTTATCCTTGTACGGCAATATCTATAAGAAAAGAAGTTAGGTTTCTAGAAGGTTTTTAATTATAAAAAGTATAGAATTTTCCGGGGAAAAATTTTATAAACCCCTAAAAGAAAAAGTACATGCTCTTTTGTGTATCATTTATCACTGCATTTTTCTTGAATACTGAATGCAGCGTAATGTCGATGAAATGTTGCACTCCCATAAATAAATAAACTTGCATATATCATGAACACGTTACATTCTTAAGTTAACAGCTAAATCCATCCTGTCACGAACAACTTAAATTGACGTATTTCTCTCAAAAACAAACTAACTCCCCTAATAAACAGACTTATTCCTCTCATAAACAGACTTATAAGTCCGATTCCTTTCGTACACAAACTTATTATCTTCATAAACATACCCCCCCCCCTCATAACTGACTTATTCCCCTCTTTTATGAATTTTTCCTCTCATAGACACACATATTCCTATCATAAACAGACTTATTCCCCTCATTTACAGACTTATTCCTCTCATAGATAATGATTTTACCGTGAGAATACAGAAAATGACAAAAACGCATTTTATTTAATCAATATATCTAAATATTTCACTTAAAAGTATATTATAAATGTTCGCATTAGTTAAGGTTATATATAATACGGTGTTAAACGGGTACTGACCCGCCAGTCACCGCGTGCTATATTTAGAACAGTCACGTTGTATGCCATGCTGTTAGGTAGTATGTTATAAAATCAATTATAAAACAACTTAAAAGTTTCGATCAGTACAGAAAATATAAAATAAGATTTTCATAAACAGCGACGGATTTGAAAAGGTAAGTTCACCTTTTTTCACTTATATACAATATAAATAAATTTGCATGATTATGCAGAATAGTAATTTCAGTTTAAATAAATTTATTTTATCGCAAATATGATGAAAACTTTTTTAGTTGATGAATTTTAATCTATTTTGTAAAATACAACTTGCATAAAAAATAGAAATAGAAATAAAAGTCATGATAATAAAAAGTGTAAGGAACAAATTTAAGTTAGGCACATACTAGGGTTTATATATTTATATATAATTATAAATGATCATTTCAAATTATATTTTATTCTTTGTAAAATGAGTAAGTAAATTGTTTGGTTTTAGAAGTTATATGAATAAAATAAAATATTAAAACAATATAAAAAATGAAGAGAATATTGCACGTAATGTTATTTGGATCTAAATTTTTCAAGCATTTATCGAACTACATTGTGGCTATTCCAGTTCGTCAGACTTTGTACTTATTGTAATATTATATGTTAATTAATTAATTTCTTTGCAGGTCACAGATATGCCTGGTACTAACACGACTAAATCCCGTGATACCGTCGTTAACATATCGGATACGGGTACAGTTGCTAGCGATGCTTGGGCACCGAAAGATATGAACAAGAAATATAACGGTAAAGAAATTTCGTGTAACTTACCTCTTACAAAACGGAATTATTTCCATTTAGATGTTAATATCACTTTCAAATTGTTAGTACTACAATTTCTAGGACAGTTATTAACATATAACATACAACAGTAACATAATCAAAGTGCTGCAGCACTGAATGCGACGGACATGCAACCGGAGAGACATTAAGGCTTTTTTTAGAAAAACAAAACAAAAAACAAAACACAAAACACAAAATATATAACAGAGAAAATTTGTTCCATACAAGTTCGAAATTTGTAAAGCAACATATTTTGTGTCCCAAACTGATATAATTCAGATTTTCTACTTTCAAGCATTTAAATACAGAATGAAATGTATGCCTAAAAACTCAGGTCAAACTTGTAAATCAGTGTCCTGATATATCGATTTAATTATTCCAAGAAATGATATGTAAATAGAAGAAAAAACTGACAACGAAATATTTCTAAAATAAAACCATGCAAATAAACTTCAAGCATAATACATTATACATGTGAGAATGCTATTTAGAATTGCTTCGTGTTATCATAGTGGGCATATAGACAATAAAATATAAGTCATTTGTATTGCATGTAATCCGCTGGTTTATTACATTTATAATGTGTACTAATCGCCTGTCCAAAAATCAGCACAAGTGAAGCAGAATCTATTTTTAGAATAGCGAAGGTTAACTCATATCGTGACCTAGAAAAATATGTAAACAAACCACAAGAATCGGAAGTAGAACTGATATTATAACTTCCTTCAATAAAGATTACCATGAAAGACTTCATGGTGGTAAAGTGTTGAAAAACTCTCTTGTTACATGCATTTTTAAAAAATAAATATTTATACTAACCATTGTACTGTATCTAATTTATTAATAACTGCTGAATATTCAGCTAAACCCGCGGTATGAGTCACGAAAATAGTTCTTCTTATATTAATGCGCGAGTTATTCTAGAGTCACAAAAAACTTTTGATTTGTTAATAATAATGTTTTGTATAATGTAGAAATATTTATTTCCTACTAATAATTTCTTGGAACTCAGAGCTTACACCTTTATTATAGTATAATTTGCTGTCCTACTTTTTCGACAGCGGTAAATGGTTTCGGCAGTAATTTGCATATTGCGCAATAATACTACGGGACTACAACGTTTTTATTAATCAAATACGTTCATATTTTAACTTGGATAACTTAATTTGAAATTGAAAAGGCTAAATATGGAAGATATTAAGATATCCCGACAAAGTATCGGTGTTTTAAAGGATCAAATTCATGTACTATTTCTTGGGCTGTTAATCGGCTGAGGACACCTTGCGCGATTGTAGCCGACGAAATCCCATGTGTAGATGACTTAGCTCTGAACGCGCCTGACGGCGCGTCCGTCGCAATTAAAATTACTGACTAAGAGTGATTTATATACTCCATTCCTGGTTATACAGTGATCATAAGAATGTTAAAAGAAAGGAAACAATATCATAATCTTTTCTTTCAAATCCCGACTGCATTAAGACCAGTTTACACAATATTAAATAGCTTCAGATATGTTCAAGTTTGAAACAACGAAAGTTCAATTTAAATATTTAATAAGTTCCATTAGTATGTAGCTCATTTTCTATCAAATTATAGCATAATAAAGTTTCGCGAAAGTAAATGTTTTATAAGTATCACAGTATCATATAAATGTTATAAAACTCAAGATACTTAAACCTTTAAGACTAGTTCGGAATGTTGAGTTCGAGAAATGCTAGAGCCGCGAAAATATCAGATGTAACAGTATAATGTTAATGTATTTAAGAACCCGGAAGTAGAAACCCATTAAAGCGGGTGCTGATTGTGGGAGCCGGGGCAGCTGGCACGTCTGCAGCTTATAGTCTTGGAAAGAATCGTGAGAAGTTTGATGTTCAAATCTGGGAGAAAGGATCAGTTCCGGGTAATTTTGTTTGTTAATCAACTTTATTTAGATACATTTATCTACAACTTTATTTACATCAGAATACATGCATTTGGTATTGATAGCAATGCATATACTTACTTATCCAAACTAATTTTTGGGGGCTTAATGGCAAGACTATTTCGCCGTTTTGATCGTTAATTATGCCTTAAAAATCCATATATTTTTTTTTAATTTCTTTAGAAATTTGAAACTAGTGCTTAATAATGTTTTATTAATATATTTAGAGCATTGAGATGTTTAACAACTGAATAAAGTAGCTTAAAATGTGCAGTAATTTAATGTGTCGTTACAGTAGCAAAATGTTATATAGTGGTATTTTACTGCCACAGTATATAAACAAAATCACTGTACCATTTCTTGTGAGTCTATATATAATTCAATGTGTACCCTGACTTGGGAGTAAAAGTACATGTTACTTCCGATCACGGGTATCTTACTTGGGAGCTTGTACATTACTTGCGATAACAGGAAGTTCACTTGTTTATATACTGTGACTTCCATACAAAATATTAATTCACTATATTTTTACCAATTGCCAACATGGCAAAGAAGAAAAAATATAGTTCATCTTTGTGGCAAATGAGTTACCAAAAAAAAAAAGAAGTTTTTGCGAAATAAAAGTGAGAGAACTTCTGAGGCTTACAGTGCCTTTGAACGTTATTGCATTCATCAGAGGAGTACGACTGTATCACATAATGTTTCTTTTAAACAAGATAGTATGACCTTATACAGAAGACAGTTCACACACAAATCATCCTATCATTCTAATAACATAAAGCTGTACACAAGGTGTTATTTCGGACATTATTCATGTGACCGATATAAACTTATACTACACACTGTTACACGTGATATTAATTTCAATATAACTTCTAAACAACGAACCTCGCCCTCCTGTAAAAAATGTGTAAGGCTATATCTTCTGAAAAATATCTATACAATTTTAAAAATGTAAATCATGTTGTTTCCTGAACAAAATATTATGCTGATATGATATTATAAGCAGGTGGTGGGGGTTAACGTTAGGCAAAAATTTCGTACATGCATCATTCCCTTATCAAACATATTTCTTTCATACGGGTGTTTTGGAACTATATGCTTTGTCAAAAATAAAATAAAACTTTGTTGACTACAGACAGTAGACTTATACACTTTAACTTTATATCAGACAGTCAGACAGTTCACGTTTCTTTCAATTTTAATAGGCGGTGTTGCTGCTACTGCAAGTTTAGAGAAACAACGCGGCACATATGTAAACTACGGAGTACAAGGCGGGACACCGACATATAGGAACACGTTAAACATACTTCAAGAACATGGTCTTGATACACACCCAGTTCATATGATGATTTCTTTCGGTAAAGAAAAAACAGCATGGACAAACTACGCCGATTCTGAACTTACACAACGATTAAGCAAAGACATCGCAAAATTTGAGAAGACATTGAAATTAATTCACAGATTTGAACCTATTTTTATATTCCTTCCCATTGCAAAGGTTTTGAAATGGTTCGGATATTCTGATGAATTTATGAACGAAATGGTTTTTCCACTTACAGCGCTGTTCTTCGGCACCGGCAACCAGACGCCTAACGTATCGACTGCAATCATGGCACGCGTATTTTTGGATGATGATTTGAGATTATTTGACTACGACACAAAAAGACTTTTGAGTCAAACTCCGGAAATGTTTGCGTTTCCAAATTTGGAGAATATGTATGAAACTATTATATCTACTTCCGGTGCCAAGTTTTTCCGCAACAGGCCGGTTAAATGTGTGGAGAGAAAGCGTGGGAAAGTTTATGTAACAGATATGAATGGTACAAATGAAGAATTCGACGAGATTATTTTTGCGTGTGATGCAGAAACAGCTCTTAAAGTGTTGAAAGATCCAAGTTACATGGAACGTAAGACGCTGGGTAATGTGAGATATTTCAATGACCTGATTATAACACACGATGACGAAGACTACATGAACTCTCATTATGAGTTACATAAAGACAGGGACCAGTATCTCGTCCGCACCGACCCGGATGATCCATCTAAGATTGAAATGTCCTTTGATTTATCGAATTATCAACCCCAGTTGAAAAAAATTAGGGATCAAAATCAACACGTGTTTCAAACCATTTATCTGGACGATGAATCCTCGGATATATGGACTTTAAACAAAGTCAATCCCGAGAAAATCATGCTAAAACATTGGTGGCGCCAGTTTTCACACACGTGGCGCCATTTTGCATTTACTGTCCCATTAATGAGATACATTCAAGGTGAGCGACATTCTTATTTCTGTGGATCATATACTTTGGTCAACACTCACGAGGTTGCCGTTATGTCAGGCTTCTCGGCTGCCTATAGAATCGGATCACCTTATCCTTTTGATCATGATCAACTCGCCAAGAAACAGTTTGATCATTATCTCATGGTCATTCATGGACGTCCGAGAAAAACGGGATTCAATTGTTCAACAATCAAATCGCTGTTCTTGGCTATAGTAATGAGAATATTCATGCTTCTGTCGCTCATGATCGGCGCATGCGTGAACAGGAAAAGAGATGACGTTGAACCAGGGTAAACAATTCCTTTCATTCTTCTGCCAAATAACATTGCGAAAGTAATATCTAGGTATTTTCAATCGTTAATAATTACTGTGCCATTGTCACATGAACATGTATATTTTTTACCAGACTGTATTATATTAAACAACAGTATCATAATCGAGTGGCGTGATCCGTAATGTCAGACGCTGCTAAAAGTATATGATTATTTAGCGTGATTGTACGAGAACAATGTATCTACATCTAAACATTTTGATATTTATTCTTGGATTTTAATAGAACAGATAACACTCCGAGATCTTGGCTTTGTAAAACTTACTAATTTCAGCTCTAGATCTGACATTTAAACATATTTATTTAAGCTCGATTGCAAAAGAAGTTCTTGCAACTTATATTAATCGCTTTCGATTCAGCTTCCTGGAACCAACCAGTAATGATTTCATATGAAGATACATGGTCGTGACTCGATTATAAGCTCGAACCCATGATCCCTGGGTTGAGAGGCAGACCTTATACCACTAGGCCACCGCTCCCCTAACAACAACCCTTCTGAATATGTATTTCCAATATGGAGATTTACATTACATTCTCTCTACATGTTGCAGCACACAACTTTAAAGTTATTTGTGATATAATCATAAAGCTATTTTCTGTTTATTTCAGGAAAGGTTACGGTCAATCAGTTTACAATGGTCTAGAGGGCTGGCCGAAACGTTAAACTAACTCAAGGACTGTACCTAGTTAGTTATCTGCAAAGCTGAACAACAGAACATACACTGATAACGCTTTATATAAGTTATATAAGACTGTTTGATTATGATTTAATGCAATAATCTTTTTTTTTTATTGAAGAAAAGTGATATTACATACGTATCAGATATTCAGTCCTTATCGGAAATGTTAAACTATTCTAAACATGAATTGTTTACTGTAAAAAAACTGAAGTATTATTTTAAAGAGAAAGAAGTTTATTTTAAAGTAGTTATTGCTTGTTGTGTCCAGTATTTCAGACATGAATTTGTTACAGGGAATCACTAATTATTGAGATAAGAGTGAACGCTCACATATAATCACCACGTGTCGCTTTAAACTCTCTGGAAATGGTCTTAATTGCGAACACATGGTGCGTAAAACGGAGATAAAAGCTTGGCGTGAAATAACGGTAGAATATAAAACATCTCTTGACACACAGAAATTAATGGTCACTTTTGATATTCGTACTTGTAAAAGGCTTTTCATTAGGAACAATTTCACTCGCCTCAACGATATAACGGAAGCTCCGTCGGACATGCTTTTAAAGCCAAGGTAAAATATTCATTGAAACGATACTGGTACATGTAAATGTTGTTATGTTTTAAACTAAACTACATTAATAAATAAGTCTTAACTACTCAAATGAAGGGATGGACAAGTGATTAAGGTGCTTGCCTCTCAACCCGGAGAACATATGTTCGAGCCTTCCTATGGTCACAACCAATGTTTCTTCATATGACTTTTACTTTCTAAATATAATCTTCAGCCACAAATCACACACACATATCTGTGTACATTACGATAATTTCAGAAACATATTTTTTCAGTATTTATTAAGATACTAAACTGGGCAGTTTTCCCAGTATAAACTTAATTTTCCTGGTTATTTACTATTAAAATGAAACAAAACAAGATTTGTCGGTAGGGCAGTGTGCTCGGCTATTCTGTGCGTCGACGCATGGGTGAGTTCAATACCTTTCCATCGAATAGTCGAGTTAAAAATGGCAGATGCACTTCTCTTACATTTTCTGCTAAATGTCCCATAAAAACTCGTATTTTATGCATGGATACACGTTGTACATAGTTATTTTTCAAAGCAAAATGTTGTCTATATATTATAATTAAATTTAAGTTTGTACATCGAAAAAAAACTGCACAACAATAAAGTAAATAATCATAAAATGAATGGTTTCAACACCATTTTGTTAATTATTATCTGGTTAATAAATTTATATTCAAATTGATAAATCCCTACTTTGACCTTTCATTTGAATAACAATACATTAACAAACATTGACATGTGCTCTGTGTGGTGAAATTCTTATTTTATCAACTAACCTGATTATTAGAAATGGACAATTAAGGTAGTTCATGGAAAGTATTTTCATGGAGTAAGAGAAATAACCACGTCAGAGATAGACAGAGTGAACACTAGCAAGTTGTCTCCCCTATTGTTTCATGGTAAGACAAAGACGAATAAACACATTTAGTAAAACTCACTTTATTATAAAACAAATAGGATACAAAAACACAAGAAATATAACTGAATGCAGAGACGTTAAAATGCTTGATGTATTTATATGCTTCTGCTGAAGGTAATAGGTACCTCCCTTTCTCACCCTACTTACAGGGTCCACACTTTACCATTGCATAACATTGATATAGGTTCTTTTTTCAAAGGTCAGGGTCATATTTTAATGACTTAATATGAAAATTTTGTATTAAAAGTTTTGTCTACTAAATATAAATGTTGTAGCAAATTCTATCCAATTTTGCAAACATAGACTTTATGTGAAATATTTCTATCATGTTTAATTGAAACAAGAACAAGAGCTGTCGGAAGGACAGCACGCTCGACTATTCTAAGTGCTTGATAGTAAAAGAGCCTTGATAATGTTAAATTTTTTAAGATCACAAAAGGTCTAATTTTTTTTTAATAAATTCATGTTATAGGCCTTAGAGAGAGTCTAATTATACAGTATTGGCTTGACTATTCGGAAGGTAATGTCACAAGGTTGTTTTATTGAGTATAATAATACTAATTACCTATGAATACAAAAATTTGACAGAAAAGGTACAAAGGGATTCTAATTAAGATGTTTTATCAAGTAAATCACTGCTTTATTATTATGAATGCATAAAATTGTCCCAAAAAAGGCACAAACCCTTCAGTAGTAATTGAGATAACAGCTTACAAGCAAAACTTTACCATGAATTTCTAAGTTGAAAAAGGGGAGAAAAATCAGCCTAAATGCAAGATAGAATTATGGATCTTTGTCAGTGACCTACAATTATGACCCTAAATGCATATGTGAAGTTTTAGATAAATATCTTTAATAGTTATTGAGATATGTAAAACTTGCATGTTAACATTAACCAAGAGACTAAGTAGAAAAGGGGATATGAATCAGCCTTAATGCAAGATAGAGTTATGAAACTTGGTCAGTGACATACAATTATGACCCTCCAATTATGACCCTAAGTGCATGTGTAAACATTCAAGTAAATATCTTTGAAGACCTTTAACCTTTAACCAAAATTTCTAAGTTTCAAAGGGGCAAATAATTCTTCAAATTTTGCAGGCAGAGTTATGCAATTTTGCAAACTGATGTACATTGTTACTATAAAAAAGTATTTTAAATTTCAATTGAATATCTCAAGCAATAATTGAGATATTTGACTTTACAAAAGAACTTTAACCAAAATTTCTAAGTTCCAAAGGAGCATAATTCTGTCAATATTGTAGGCAGAGTTATCCAACTTGTCAATCTGATGTACCTTGTTACTATAAATAAGTATTGTAAGTTTCAATTGAATATCTCAAGCAATAGTTGAGATATTTGACTTTACAAAAAACTTTAACCAAAATTTCTAAGTTAAAAAGGGGCATAATTCTGTCAATATTGTAGACAGAGTTATCTCACTTGTCAATCTGATGTACCTTGTTACTATAAATAAGTATCGTAAGTTTCAATTGAATATCTCAAGTAATTATTGAGATATTTGACTTTACAAAAAACTTTAACCAAAATTTCTAAGTTAAAAAGGGGCATAATTCTGTCAATATTGTAGGCAGAGTTATCCAACTTGTCAATCTGATGTACCTTGTTACTATAAATAAGTATTGTAAGTTTCAATTGAATATCTCAAGTAATTATTGAGATATTTGACTTTACAAAAAACTTTAACCAACGCAGACGCCGACGCGGACGCGGACGCGGACGCCGACGCCGGGGCGACTACAATAGCTCTCATATTCTTCGAATAGTCGAGCTAAAAATGGTTTTTGCTAACCTTGTGTGTTAAAAACTGAAAGCAACACCCTGGGTCAAACCACCTCACCTGCTGGAGCTAAGAGATGCATAGACTCCAGTAATTTGAACCCATTTACTTGCCTCTCACCATCACACAGGGATAAACAATGGCTGCAATTCTGATGCCTCAACCCTTAAAGGGGAAACCCTCAGCCACAAGAGGGTTATGGGGAATGTAAAATTAACACTGTGTTGGACATCATTTATACAAAATAACCTTATGAGTAGGATAAAACAACCGTTCAAGGTAATTAAGCAAATGTAATCAACCTTAAAAGTTGAAAAGGATATTTTGTTGTAAAAACTTTTAGTGTGCATTGATGCTTGATTTCATGATTATAATTTACAAAATACTAAGTTATGCATACATGACTTTTTTTATAATCATGATTTTTAGATCAAATAAAAAACATGACACAGGAATCTACACACAATTGTGTAGAGAAGATTAAAAAAATAATTGTAAATAACTATTACAAAATAAGTGTGCCAAAACAAGAAACATACTTAATGTATCACACAAACTGCGTCTTTTATAAAACCTATACAGATTCTGTTTGATTAACTTCACTGTCTTTTTAAATAATACAAACAAGAATCCTAAGCACTCTTTGAATTAAAACTATAATCAAACATTAAATATCAAGACTGTGTCGAGTATCTGATTTTATCATTTGTTACATCCTCAGCAGACTGGTTTACTTGTGTTTCACTATTTGTTACAGACTGGTTATCACTTCCATCTGTCAATCCAGACTGTGTGACACTGTGATCAGTTTTTAATTTTTTCTTTGCCCTCGTTTCTGCTAGCACTTGTTCTATAGTTCTCTGGTCTCTTTTATTTTCACTTGAAACTGTAAAAATAATAATATAACCATATTTCTTTCTTTAAGACAATCAAATATTTTATTATGAAAAGAAACAAGAGCCACAGCCAAGCATAGACCATATGAGACTTTTTCTTATTTCTAACATAAAAAAACTAAAAATCAAAGAATAATGTTGTAAAGAGTACTTAAGAAGACCACATCTGACATCAGCACCTCGAATCCAGAGTGCCAAGTGGGCCATTTTTGGTGAGCAGGACTGGCACTGTAAGACGATTTGTTTGTTTTGGGTTTCACATCACATCGACACAGTATAGGTCATATCGCGACCTTCCAGCTTTACTGGTGAAGGAAGACCTCAGGTGCCCTTCTGTGCATTATTTCAGGCACGAACCGGCACCTGTGTAGAACCAGCGATGTTCCTAAAGCTAGCTGGACTAAGCTTCCTCACATGAAAGAATCCAAAGTCCCTGTCGGTATTCGAACCCACAGCTGTGAGGAGCAAGTGGCACTGTAAGATGAAACAAACAACCTGATGAGGTGCCCAATGCTGAGGCTCATCAGATACTTGTTTGTTTGTTTGTTTCATTTTACGCCTTTTTCAACAGTATTTCAGTCATATAGGCGGGTAGTTTCCTAACCATCGTTCCTGGAGAGTTACACCAGTACTAGACTACCTTCCTCCGCGCTAAACTACCAAAGCATCTCCCGGGGATCGAACCCACGCCAGAAGTAACTGGATTAGAAGTCATCGACTCTAACCCCTCGACCACGGAGGCGGTCTCATCAGATACAAGTTTGATCTTAACAGTCAGGTCATTTACATATCAATGCATATTTAATCAGTTAACATGATTGTGTTGTCATAAGTGTTGTTTCCTCCCAGTATGAACAAAGTTGTTCATTACAATTAAAGGCCAAAAATGCCTCAGATATGCTATCATTTTTATTTCTTAAATAGAGGATATTGAATGACTGTACTGAATTTATTGCACAAGTTGAATAAAATTATATTATGCAAGCCTCGATGCTCTTTCTATTACTTCAATTATGCCACTGTGGAATGATCTTAACAGTATTTATCATAAAGGTCAAGGTAAATCTTTATTTTTCAATTATCAATTCTGTCAAACTATTTCATTTGTTCCAATTTGTTCCAATATGAATCAAATCAATAAATAAAATAGCTATGACAATTCTCGTAAATTTATAAATCTGACCCTGACAGTCAATGTCATTTTAAAGGTGAAGGTCATAATTAAATAATACATTATAATCCATTGTTCCTGGAGATTTACACCAGTACTAGACTACCTTCCTCCGTGCTAAACTACCAAAGCATCTCCCGGGGATCGAATCCACGCCAGAGAGAAAACATGATTAGAAGTCATTGACTCTAACCCCTCAACCACAGAGGCGCGGTACTTCAGTTACCACTGGGACATTACTTCAGGAGTGATATCACATTTATCACATTTCTGAGAAGAACATCAACCTCCCTTTCATAAAAGATAATATGAAAGGATTTCAATTTAAGGAACATGTGATTTAAAGTTGGATATTAATTTCATTTTGCATTAACATAGAACATAAATCCCTTTTTTTTTGCAGGGGGGGGGGGGGGGGGGGGGGTGTTTTTTATGCCAATTTCTACACATTATTATTCATGTCTAGGATGTAAGTCCACCTTACCAGTTTTCCTGGATAACTAAGCAGTTATTATTAATTTCTGTACAAGTGACCAATTACCTATCTTAATTGCTTCAGATTTCTACACAGCCTTTGTATCAGTGTAAAAAAATGACCATTAGTCAAACAAGAGCACGGCATGCATGTTAACACACGTTTGTAAAAATTCTAAGTTAAAAAGTGGCATAACTTCAAAAGCATTGCTTTCAGAATTTTGCCCCTTGTCTAACAACTGCAACCTTGTTATGATATGCAAATGTTCCAAGTTTGCATGTCGATAACTTTAAAAATGTTTGAATAATGGGCTACATCACAATTTTTGCATGACGACAATGATGATGAGGCCACAGCGATCAAAATAGCTCTACTTTTTCTTCACAACAGACTAGTTATCTAAGGATTGCTGACCTCGTGGGTTCAAACCCCGTCAGACAAGCCACTGTTTCCATGAGCAAGAACCTTTGCACTCATTGCTTAATACTTGTTGGTTCCAGGAACAGATTCGAAAGTGTTTCAATAAGCTTATAGCTGCCAATACAATCAAACTTAAATAAATCTGATTAAACTAACAGACTAGCTAAACATTATAATGTAGAAATCCTTACTGCAAAAACCATATATTATATGATCTATTCTAACACGACCAGCATTTTTCCCTATTGAACATAGAGGAACCGAAAGTGTGTGTTATTATGCTATAAAATCACTGTTTGACGTTCTATATTTAGACATGTGACGTCATCATTATACATGTGACGTAACCACTAAAAATGTGACGCGCTGAAAATAAGTAGTGCAATTTAGCTAATTATAATGTACGGCAGCATTTATTTGTTGATGTCGTGTTAGAATCGAAATAATATATCCAAATCGGTGATTTTACTGCTTGGTAACATCACTGTTTGGAGTTCGGATGCGGATCATTATATCACTCAGGCTACGCCCTCGTGATATAATTCCTCGCATCCGAACTCCAAACAGTGATGTTATTGAGCAATAAAATCACAGATTGGGATATATTATTTCTTTAATATCTTTCCTTATTCAGATTTGTTAACAAGAATTAAATTTCAACTGTTGTTCAATACAGGAATAAACCTATTACCAAAGCCATAAGATCTGTTAGTGAATGTGGACTGGGCAGCATCTTTAGCAGCAGTGTCACCTATCAGATGTTTATATTTATCCTTGTAGTTGGTGTTTGGTTGTATCACCTTTCTCTTATTTATATAACTAGACTCCTGCTCTTCCTGTGCCTACAATATTTAATAATTCTCGTCATATATATAACAATAATTCCTGGAACATTCATCAGGCATTTCCCCAGCCATTTTGGGGAAAAGTACCTTGCACAGTTTGGAAAATTTTGCAACACACAATCCCTAAATCAAGAAAAATATTTGGTACCTATTAAGCTCTTTTGGCATAGTATTTTTGAATTCCTAGACAAAACCAAATCAAAACAAAGCAATAAAATTTTGATGATGTGAGGAAATATCTGTTTATTGGCGACGCCAGTGAGCATTGTCGTCTCTTATGGAATGCTTATTTTTTGCCCATGGTAGAAGCTCTTCTTATAAGCATGTTGTGCTAATTAGTTTTATTATTTATTTGTAAACATCAAGTAAACAAATATGTTGTTATATTTGTATGTATAGAGCATGTGCATTGTGATATTATTTTTCATGAAATTGCAGGCTCAGTTAAACAGCTTGTTACAGTACGCTCACCGCGGGTTTTGCTTTTTCCGCGATACCACCGCGGACGATTTTTTTCTATCGCGGACAAACGCGGGGGTTCGTCCGCAATGAGAAGCCTAAATCCCCGCGATCCACGGTGTTCAGTTGTTTCCACCGCGGACAAAATTCTGACAACCGTTCTTCATTTATCGATAAAATCAGTCACCCGTTTCCCGCGGGGGAACGCCATGGTCAGTTGGTCAGTATAAATTAACCTCCAAAAATAATAGATGTTTTATTATTTTTAACGTCATCTTTTTTACACAATGACTTGAAAATTGACCACAATCGTCTCCTTAAATGTTATTATACGTTAAATTATTTGAACGGAATTTGAAATAAAAATAATTACAGCTGTACTTGATTTTGTTGTTGTTTTTAATATTTTTGTTATAAACGTCCACAAAACTATTCGTCCACATACCAACATTTTAACAACAACTGAAATCGTCATTTATCACTGTCATCTTTACTTGTTCATTCCTTGTGGTTCTATAAGTATTTTTGCTGTTAAACTATATAAAAAATAATATTTGAAACTTGAAACATAATAAAATAACAAAAGTATAACGTCAAGTTTAACAAAATTCTGCAAAAAAAATCTATAAAAAAATAAAAAAGAACAAGCAAACAAACTACTAAAACAAAAATGAAAATAAACTTCAACAGTTGATACAAACTTCAAAACATATACATTACGCTCACACCTGTAATTAGATAAATCAAAATATCATTTAATGTATATTTTGGTGAAATAAACGCTTTCCTTTAATGTTCCAAATAAAATATAAGACTTTATGATCAACATGCAAATAAACAGAAACAGTAAAACGCATCTGACAATTGAAAGAGACATCCTGGAATATTGCCTGAATAAAATTGTTGAGGGTTTCAAAGTTTTTAAATAAGAAACAAAAGCTGGCATATAAATTGTTGTAGTATCTTTTTCATAAATGTCATATGCCGAATTTTTCATTATTTGACTTCAAGTTTCTCACCACCATGAAGTTGCGACGACAATGATTTATCTTGATGTCGAATACATATTATGCATTACCCAACTCAATAACAAGAAGAAGAACAAGAAAAGCACTGCATTTGTACATGTACTTTTATTACAACAAAAAGAAAGAAAACAAACAAATTTTACATATAGTTACATGTATACGTATACTGATGTTTAAATACAGTAATTAATTTTTAAAATTTAAGGTTTCCACCGCGTTGACCGGTGTTTGACCGCCGCGTTCCTCCGCAATTTACCACTGCGTTCCGCGGGGAAACGGTTTCAGCCGCCGATTTATGTCCGCGGTGGTGAAAATTTTCTGTCTGCGGGGTCACGGGGACAATATCTGAGCAAATTTTCGTCCGCGGTAAACCTCATCCGCGGGGTCACGCGGGTTTTGAAAAAGTCGCGCTGAGCGTACTGTACATGTACATGTAGATACTGGAAATACACTTGTTAGATTGGATATCACAAATTTTACTTAGATTCTGATTTTTTGTTAATTGGAAAAAAATAAGCATATTTGCCATTGCCATCATTGGGAATGTTTATGATAATCAAAACCCATTGTCAAACTGGGAAAAGGCCTGTTCATACTTGTTATCATATAAATATAAGTTCCAGGAACATTCATAATTCTAATTATATCAACATAAGTTCCTTAAACATTCATAATTCTTATTATATCAACATAAATTCCTTAAACATTCATAATTATTGTTCTATAAACATAAATTCTTGAAACATTCATAATTCTTGTTATATAAACATAAATACTTGAAACATTTATAATTCTTATTATGTAAACATAAATTCTTAAAACATTCATAATTCTTGTTATATAAACATAAATACTTGAAACATTCATAATTCTTATTATGTAAACATAAATTCTTGAAATATTCATAATTCTTGTTATATAAACATAAATTCTTGAAACATTCAAAATTCTTATCATATAAAAATAAATTCCTGGAACATATATAATTCTTATTATATCACCATAAATTTCTTAAACATTCATAATTCTCATTATATAAACATAAAATCCTGAAACATTCATTATTCTTATTAAAAGCCTATTACCTATTATCATTAGTTCTTATCACAGAAACATTACTCAATTAGTTCAATCTTATTAAAGGCACATTATGCCTTAGAAATCCGTATTTTTAAAAATTCTTTAGAAATGTCAAATATGTGTTTAATAATGTTTTAATAATGGAAAGCATATGAGATGTAAAACTGCTGAAGAAAATTGCGCTGAATATGTAGTAATGTGTTGTAAAGGCAGCAAAAAGTAAACAAAGTAGTATTTTGACTTCCATACACAATACACATTCACTATGATTATACCCATTGCAAACAGAGCAAAGGAAGTAAGAGATGGCCCATCTATGTGGCAAATGAGTATTTTTTGGAAACTGTAACAAGATACCAAAAATAACAAGAGGGCCATGATGGCCCTGAGGTCGCTCACCTGTATAAAGGCACCCGGAGCGGGGCCAGTTTAAACCCCAGGGCTTTTATTTGAACAAACTTGGAAGACACCCATTAGAAGATATTTCACGATGTTAAGTTTTTACTACACACATATAATGAAAAACAACAATCTACCCCCTCCTTCCATACCCCCCCCCTCTGGCAGGGCCAATTTTAACCCCAGGGCTTTTATTTGAACAAACTTGGTAGACACCCATAAGAAGATGTTTCATGCTAAACATCTAAGCTCTAGCTCATTGGGTTTTTTTTAAAAGAAGATTTTTTAAGTTTTTTCTATACACATATAGTTTAAACCAATGACACCCCTGGGGCGGGGCCAATTTGACCCAAGTGCTTTTATTTTAACAAACTTTGTAGACAATTACTAGAAGATGTTTCATGCTTAATTTCTAAACTCTAGCTATTTGGGTTTTTTCAAAGAAGATTTTTAAGTTTTTGCTGTACAAATATAAGGAAAATCAATAACACCCGGGGCGGGGCCAATTTTGACTCCAGGGCTTTTATTTGAACAAACTTTGTAGACACTCACTAGAAGATGTTTCATGCTTAATATCTAAACTCCAGCTATTTGGGTTTTTTCAAAGAAGATTTTTTAACTTTTTGCTATACACATATAAGGAAAATCAAGGACCCCCGGGCCGGGCCAATTTTGACCCCAGGGCTTTTATTTGAACAAACTTTGTAGACACCAATTAGAAGATGTTTCATGCTAAATATCTTAGCTCTAGCTCTTTGAGTTCTTTAAAAGAAGATTTTTTAAGTTTTTACTATATGCATATAGAGAAAATCAATGACCCCCTGGGGCGGGGCCAATTTTTACCCCAGGGCTTTCATTTGAACAAACTTGGTAGACACTCATTAAGAGAAATTTCATGCTAAATATCTTAGCCCTGGCTCTTTGGGTTCTTTAAAAGAAGATATTTTAAGTTTTTACTATATGCATATAGGGAAAATCAATGACCCCTTGGGGCGGGGCCAATTTTTACCCAAGGGCTTTTATTTGAACAAACTTGGTAGACACTCATTAGAAGATGTTTCATGCTAAATATCTTAGCCCTAGCTCTTTGGGTTCTTTAAAAGAAGATATTTTAAGTTTTTACTATATGCATATAGGGAAAATCAAAGACCCCCTGGGGCGGGGCCAATTTTGACCCCAGGGCTTTTATTTGAACAAACATGGTAGACACTCATTAGAAGATGTTTCATGCCAAATATCTAAGCTCTAGCTCTTAGGGTTTTTTAAAAGAAGATATTTAAAGTTTTTTCTTTCGGTTGCCATGGCAACCAGAGTTCTGCATGGAATTAAATTCTTTGAACAATTTCTAAAGGTGACCACCAAAGGAACATTCCTGTGAAGTTTGGATGAAATTGGCTTAGTGGTTTATGAGGAGATGTCATTTAAAGTAAAAGTTTACGGACGGACGACGGACGGACGGACGAAAAGCGATCACAAAAGCTCACCCTGTCACTTTGTGACAGGTGAGCTAAAAAGGTTTTGAGAAATGAAAATGATAGCATTTCTGAGGCATAATGGGCCTTTAACTTAAGTGATTTTAATTACTTTCAAATCGCCTTCCTGGAACTAACCAGTACTGGTGTCATATAAGGAAACATGGTATTGACCCTAATAACACTTGAACCAACTATACCTGAGCTGAGAGGCATACTTGAACCCACAATACCAGGGCTGAGAGGCATACTTGAAACCACAATACCAGGTCTGAGAGGCATACTTGAACCCACAATACCAGGTCTGAGAGGCATACTTGAACCCACAATACCAGGGCTGAGAGGCATACTTGAAACCACAATACCAGAGCTGAGAGGCATACTTGAACCCACAATACCAGAGCTGAGAGGCATACTTGAACCCACAATACCTGAGCTGAGAGGCATACTTGAACCCACAATACCAGGTCTGAGAGGCATACTTGAACCCACAATACCAGAGCTGAGAGGCATACTTGAACCCACAATACCAGGGCTGAGAGGCATACTTGAACCCACAATACCAGAGCTGAGAGGCATACTTGAACCCACAATACCAGGGCTGAGAGGCATACTTGAACCCACAATACCAGGGCTGAGAGGCATACTTGAACCCACAATACCAGAGCTGAGAGGCATACTTGAACCCACAATACCAGGGCTGAGAGGCATACTTGAACCCACAATATCAGAGCTGAGAGGCATACTTGAACCCACAATACCAGGGATGAGAGTCAAACTTGAAACCACAATACCAGAGCTGAGAGGCATACTTGAACCCACAATACCAGGGCTACCGGAGCGGGGCCAGTTTAAACCCCAGGGCTTTTATTTGAACAAACTTGGAAGACACCCATTAGAAGATATTTCACGATGTTAAGTTTTTACTACACACATATAATGAAAAACAACAATCTACCCCCTCCTTCCATACCCCCCCTCCCTCTGGCAGGGCCAATTTTAACCCCAGGGCTTTTATTTGAACAAACTTGGTAGACACCCATAAGAAGATGTTTCATGCTAAACATCTAAGCTCTAGCTCATTGGGTTTTTTTTAAAAGAAGATTTTTTAAGTTTTTTCTATACACATATAGTTTAAACCAATGACACCCCTGGGGCGGGGCCAATTTGACCCAAGTGCTTTTATTTTAACAAACTTTGTAGACAATTACTAGAAGATGTTTCATGCTTAATATCTTAACTCTAGCTATTTGGGTTTTTTCAAAAGAAGATTTTTAAGTTTTTGCTGTACAAATATAAGGAAAATCAATAACACCCGGGGCGGGGCCAATTTTGACTCCAGGGCTTTTATTTGAACAAACTTTGTAGACACTCACTAGAAGATGTTTCATGCTTAATATCTAAACTCCAGCTATTTGGGTTTTTTCAAAGAAGATTTTTTAACTTTTTGCTATACACATATAAGGAAAATCAAGGACCCCCGGGCCGGGCCAATTTTGACCCCAGGGCTTTTATTTGAACAAACTTTGTAGACACCAATTTGAAGATGTTTCATGCTAAATATCTTAGCTCTAGCTCTTTGAGTTCTTTAAAAGAAGATTTTTTAAGTTTTTACTATATGCATATAGAGAAAATCAATGACCCCCTGGGGCGGGGCCAATTTTTACCCCAGGGCTTTCATTTGAACAAACTTGGTAGACACTCATTAAGAGAAATTTCATGCTAAATATCTTAGCCCTAGCTCTTTGGGTTCTTTAAAAGAAGATATTTTAAGTTTTTACTATATGCATATAGGGAAAATCAAAGACCCAGGGCATACTTGAACCCACAATACCAGGTCTGAGAGGCATACTTGAACCCACAATACCAGGTCTGAGAGGCATACTTGAACCCACAATACCAGAGCTGAGAGGCATACTTGAACCCACAATACCAGGTCTTAGAGGCATACTTGAACCCACAATACCAGGGCTGAGAGGCATACTTGAACCCACAATACCAGGGCTGAGAGGCATACTTGAACCCACAATACCGGGACTGAGAGGCATACTTGAACCACAATACCAGGGCTGAGAGGCATACTTGAAACCACAATACCAGAGCTGAGAGGCATACTTGAACCCACAATACCAGGGCTGAGAGGCATACTTGAAACCACAATACCAGGGCTGAGAGGCATACTTGAACCCATAATACCAGGGCTGAGAGGCATACTTGAAACCACAATACAGAGCTGAGAGGCATACTTGAACCCACAATACCAGGGCTGAGAGGCATACTTGAAACCACAATACCAGAGCTGAGAGGCATACTTGAACCCACAATACCAGGGCTGAGAGGCATACTTGAAACCACAATACCAGAGCTGAGAGGCATACTTGAACCCACAATACCAGGGCTGAGAGGCATACTTGAAACCACAATACCAGGGCTGAGAGGCATACTTGAACCCATAATACCAGGGCTGAGAGGCATACTTGAAAACCACAATACCAGAGCTGAGAGGCATACTTGAACCCACAATACCAGGGCTGAGAGGCATACTTGAACCCACAATAAAAGGGCTGAGAGGCATACTTGAACCCACAATGCCAGGGCTGAGAGGTATACTTGAACCCACAATACCAGGACTGAGAGGCATACTTGAAACCCACAATACCAGGGCTGAGAGGCATACTTGAACCCACAATACCAGGGCTGAGAGGCATACTTGAAACAACAACACCAGAGCTGAGAGGCATACTTGAACCCACAATACCAGGGCTGAGAGGCATACTTGAAACCACAATACAGAGCTGAGAGGCATACTTGAACCCACAATACCAGGGCTGAGAGGCATACTTGAAACCACAATACCAGGGCTGAGAGGCATACTTGAACCCATAATACCAGGGCTGAGAGGCATACTTGAAACCACAATACCAGAGCTGAGAGGCATACTTGAACCCACAATACCAGGGCTGAGAGGCATACTTGAACCCACAATAAAAGGGCTGAGAGGCATACTTGAACCCACAATGCCAGGTCTGAGAGGTATAGTTGAACCCACAATACCAGGACTGAGAGGCATACTTGAACCCACAATACCAGGGCTGAGAGGCATACTTGAACCCACAATACCAGGACTGAGAGGCATACTTGAACCCACAATACCAGGGCTGAGAGGCATACTTGAACCCACAATACCAGGTCTGAGAGGCATACTTGAACCCACAATACGGGGACTGAGAGGCATACTTGAAACCACAATACCAGAGCTGAGAGGCTAACACTGAAACATGATCCCTGATTCCGGGCAGTAACATGAACCCAGGCTTACAGTATCCCAGACTTGTTCCAAACCAATGCTGTGACACATGACAATGTTGAATAAATTTTCTTTGCTTTTTATATTTGCTACAGTGTTGGCATAGAACAACCCTGTTTCATTGATGATTTTGGCAACTTTCCTGATTTTAGATGTCAGTAAGAATGGATCTACACATTAAACATAACTAGACTAGTATTTACTGTTAACTTGAAAATTACTTCAATTTTTTCATTTTACCACCTGGAGACTAGTGACTATTACAATAATACCTTGAGTTGAGCAATTTGTTTGGCTTTTTCAGGATCCCACTCCTCCTCCCTTCTGTATGCCAACAACTCCTCATCTGATGGTGCAAATTCCTACACAATACAAAAATACATGAGCCACGAAACGACAAAACCAACATAGTGCGTTTGCGACCAGCATGGATCCAGACCTGAGCCTGCGCATCCGCGCAGTCTGATCAAGATCCATGCTGTCCGCTTATCAACTCTATTACAAGAAGAGAAACTGATAGCAAACAGCATGGATCCTGATCAGACTGCGCATGTGCAAATGTGCAGGCTGGTCTGTATCCTTGATGGTCGCAAACGCACTATGTTGGTTTTGTCATGGCGCGGCTCATATAATGACATTATATAAATGTATGTTCTATGAGTTTTGTTGAACAATAGTTCATACTGTCATTTGTATTATCTATTCACAAGTTTGCTGTAGATTTATAAATTCATTTTCATACACATTTTTCCTGAAATAAATGAACTGACTTTGAACAGAATTACTTGTAATTTTTTTATTTTATGGTTTGGTTTTATGTCACACCTGAACAAAGTACAGATAATATGTCAACTTTACAGCATTAACATTGCAGGATGGCTTCAGGTCACCCTCTGTAAATAAATTCAGGTACAAACAGGCATCTGAACAACAAGTGTTTCTTAATCTAGCTGAATGACCTAATCTTACATGTAGAATCTGACAGCACTGGCGAGGCTTGAACCTACAACATTGTGAGGCAAGTGGTTTGATGCTGACGACCTCTTTACAGATATATAATATGGCCATATATAAATTAATGTCTGCTATATAACCATCTCCAAGCATATGTAGTCATATACTATATAACCATGTCCAAGCAGATAAAGTTGTGGGATTTGGCTTTATGTCACATCGACACAGTATAGGTCATGTGGTGACGTTCCAGCTTGACTGGATGGAGAAGATCTCAGATGCCTTTCCATGCAATTAAGTAAGGCATGAACGGGCACCTGAGCAGAAACAAACTAGTTGGAACCAGTACTGTTGCATTTCCAAAAAATGCTATGAATCCCCATTCAGTCAGGTATTTGAAAAAAACAACAACAAAACAAAAGAAAACAACATAATTTTCATGAAAATTAATATACACTCCTGTCAGTTGATTAAACTATAAACACCATTTCAATATCTTTCTTCTGATTTGTTATTGGTTGGGTTTTTTAGTAGCACAATCACTGTAATGGTCAAATGGTGCCTTTCTAGCATATTTGGTGGAGGAGGTCAACATCATGCATTATTTAGGCACAATCTGGCACCTGGGTAGAACCACCCATGTTAAATAACCTGACACGAAAGCTTCAGCACTTGAAAGAATCTAAAGCTAGTGGCGAAATTTAAGCCCGCGAGTGAGTGGTGAGGGGCAAGTGTTTTGAATCAAATGACCTCAACCACTAGGCAGGCAACAGAATTATTTTATTTCATTTTTTTTTTTTTGGGGGGGTGGGGGGGGGGTAAGGGATGGGGGGAGGTGGAAAACCATACATTACCTTTTTCCATAACATCACATATCTATCTTGTTCCTCAATCCCAAAAGAAAATGATGCTAAACTGGCTATATCTGCCACTTCATGACTGAAAATATAAAATCCAAGTCATACTGGTTCATTATAAGCTAGATATAACACAATGTTATCCATAAATATCAAAGTAGCCATGAACAACAAACAGTTACTGGTGGGAGAGATAACTATAATTGTTATAACTTCGTTTTTCAACAAACAAGCATATGGTCACCTAGTAGTATAAGAGCACGACAGAATGTGATGATGTTTTGTAAGTTGGTAAACTTTTTAATATTTTTCATATCACTGAAACTTTTTGTGGCAAATATTAATTGCTTCAAAACATTCTTTTTACTAAATAACATTCGCAGTTGTATTCACCACAGCCACTGACTTGGGAAAGACTTTTGAAATTGTTTAAATATCAACAAACAAGAGGGCCATGATGGCCCAAAGTCGCTCACCTGTATATAGGCCCCTGGAGCGGGGCCAGTTTTAACCCCAGGGCTTTTATTTGAACAAACTTGGTTTGTATATGTATGCATGTATATATATGTATATATATATATAAATATATATATATATATATATATATATATATATATATATATATATATATAATATATATATATATATATATATATATATATATATATATATATGTATATTATATATATATATATATATATATACATATATATATATATATATACATTTATATATAAATATTAAATATATATGTGTATATATATAATATGTATATATCTTAAAAAAAAAAAAAGTCAAGCTAATGAATGACCCCCGGGGCGGGGCCAATTTTGACCCCAGGGCTTTTATTTGAACAAACTTGGTAGACACCCATGAGAACATGTTTCATGCTAAATATCTTAGCTCTAGCTCTTTGAGTTCTTTAAAAGAAGATTTTTTAAGTTTTTACTATATGCATATAGGGAAAATCAATGACCCCCGGGGGCGGGGCCAATTTTGACCCTAGGGCTTTTATTTGAACAAACTTTGTAGACACTCATTAGAAGATGTTTCATGCTAAATATCTTAGCTCTAGCTATTTGGGTTCTTTAAAAGAAGATTTTTTAAGTTTTAACTATATGCATATAGGGAAAATCAAAAGACACCTGGGGCGGGGCCAATTTTGACCCTAGGGCTTTTATTTGAACAAACTTTGTAGACACTCACTAGAAGATGTTTCATGCTTAATAGCTAAACTCCAGCTATTTGGGTTTTTTTAAAGAAGATTTTTTAAGTTTTTGCTATACACATATAAGGAAAATCAATGACCCCCGGGGCGGAGCCAATTTTGACCCCAGGGCTTTTATTTGAACAAACTTGGTAGACACCTATTAGAACATGTTTCATGCTAAATATCTTAGCTCTAGCTCTTTGAGTTCTTTAAAAAGAAGATTTTTTTAAGTTTTTACTATATGCATATAGGGAAAATCAATGACCCCCTGGGGCGGGGCCAATTTTGACCCTAGGGCTTTGATTTGAACAAACTTGGTAGGCACTCATTAGAAGATGTTTCATGCCAAATATCTAAGCTCTAGCTCTTACGGTTTTTTAGAAGAAGATTTTTTAAGTTTTTCTTATTGGTTGCCATGGCAACCAGAGTTTTTAATGGAATTTAAATTTTTGAACAACTTTGAAAGGGGTCCACCTAAGGATCATTTCTGTAAAGTTTGGTTGCAATTGGCCATGTAGTTTAGGAGGAGATGTTGTTTGAAAAGTTTGACGCCATTTTTTGAAGGACGCACGACGCACGACGCACGCAGAGTGATGACAAAAGCTCACCTTTGAGCACTTCGTGCTCAGGTGAGCTAAAAATAGATAAAACATAATATAAAATGTAAAAATAATCAATGATGCTGATTTTCCAGTCATTTTAAATTTTTTCTTAAAAAATTAAGTGTCGACTTAAACTACTGTTGTTGGGTAAAAACACCATGTTTTGTATACCTCATTATGGACCTTAAAAAAGTCCAGTTTACTTTTCATAAAAAATATTTGTGTTTCGAAAAGTTTTGAATGTATTTTCTTTTGGTGGTTAAAAAAAAAATAAAAGGAAAAATGTAGTATTGAAAAAAAATATGTGATTTTTTCCTTATCCGGTGGGGTTTTAAAAGGTGGGAAAAAAAACTTAAAACAAAAGTCTTTTGTAAACAACGAAAAAAGAATGTTGATGGGCCCCAAGATGACCCACAATGATTGTTTTGTCGTTACTGACGACAGCGGAAATATGACGAGAGAAAGAAAAAAGGAAAATTTTTTTCCTTCCCCCTTAAAAGGGGTTGGGGCATTATATTAATATAATTTTTAAATGCCCTCTTGTTTTACCTGTTTAAAAATTTAAAATCTAATTTAAATATCCCTCAAAGTATGCTTCAAAAAAACAGAAAAAAAGTAAACAACGATGCATAATCCCTATTGACCAACCCCCTGTAAAGTTTCATGACTCTAGGTCAATTATAATTTGGCTTTACCCCAAAAGTTGATTTACCATTTTTAACTTTTTGGATCAAAAAGTTTAAAAGTAGGGAAAATTACGGGAAAAACCCAGGTGCAAAACCCCTTGTGCCAAATTTGTGAAAAGTTTTTGTCTTTAAGTTAATCATAAGTAAGAGTGTTGTATGCCTTAAATGCCTCCTCATGCAGCCATAATGTCATATGTTATAATAATAATTAGTTCCAAATTTGTATGCACCAAACATTTTTTTCATTCTATGTTCATTAAAGGCTCTTCAATGTTAACACAAACCATTTTTATATTAAAGTTCAAGGCCCTGAAATTATTTAGTGTTAACCTTTTGCAAATTGTATATAGCATATTTGTAGCCAAGATAATGATTAGAAATTATGTTTTTTTAAAATCTTTTCCAATTTCAGGGGTTAAATGTAAAAAAATTTGAAAAAATTTAAAATTGACCTGTATTTTTGGAAAAAATCCACTGAAAGCCCCCAACCCGTTTCCCCTTTAAAAAAAATTTGAAATTTAAAGGGATATAAACAGTCCAAAATTTTGTTTTTTTTTGTTTTTTGGTTAAGTACCGCACCAAAATACTCTTTCAAAAAATAGTGAAAAAACAAAATTTAAAAATTTTTCCCCATATTAAAGCAGAAAAATTTTTGCAAAAATTATCGATTTGTCAGCCCCTAAAAAAATTCCCTGTTATTCCTCGTGTGATCTAACTGGTCCAAATTTGAATTTGAATGTGAACAACAGTTTTGGAGAAAATGAGCCAAAACTGTAAATTTCTTATTTTTTTCAAAGTTAAAGATGGGTAACAAATTTGTCATTTACCATTAAAATAGTCAATCTTTTTTTAAATAAATAGCTAATTTACCTCAATTTTACAACAAAAATGAGCATAATGTCACTTTTAAGTAAAAGCATTGTTATATAGTCACTATCCAAAGTCACTTATGACAAATTTAACAATTTAAAATCTTTGTGTTTGTTTCTTTTCTTTCCTTTACTTGGTAATAATTGCAAACTTAACAGATGCAATATGATCTAATGGGAATTATTTTTTTTAATAAAATGTACATACACAATAGCACGCTGAGTTTTGTCCATAGGCTCTAACTTTAATTTCTCCTCACTACCATTCTTTATAAAACTGTTGATTTTTTTCTGAATCTGCAAAATGACAATAATGTTGATGTTACACTTTTGCTCCCTAAAAGACAAATATAATTATCTATACCACTACCATTGGTTAAAGTTAAAATTGTCAAAATACAAGAATGCTATAATTCTGTCCATACATTATCATTTCATATTTTGATATAAAAGTTCAATTCTAACACTATCGGATTTTTTTCTATATAAACAAAGAAGGCCCGAAGCGTGCATTATTCTGCAACAATGCACTCGCCGTTCTTATTATCTGCCTGTGTATTTTCACATTGAGGGCACCATTTTGTTTGAAAAATCTGATAAATAAAAACAATTTTTTGTCGAATTTTGTTGTGAAAACTATCTAGAATGATAGAAAATAGTCTAACTAAGAAAATAAATCCGAACACCAATATCTTTAATTCAGTCGTTAACGCTGTACAGACGTTTAAAGTGTTGTTTACGTGACGTCACAATGTAGCGCCAAACAGCACGTGCAAAACAATCAAATCAAGTACGCTATTTTAATATCGCAAACGAGTTTAAGTTTTACATTTATTTCACTTTTAATCATTTGTATTCCGCTTGAAAAATTATAGAGTGAAATAAAAAAAAAAACAAGTTTTTAACGTTTTAAAAATTCGTTTTCTAAAAAATGTTTTAAAACCCCGGTAGATTTAACGACGTTTTTTTAACCCTAAAAACCCCTTTAAAAAACGTTTTATTAAAATCTGGCGAAAAAAAATTTAAAACCCAAAAACATGCCCAATTTTTTTAAAAAATAATTTTTTTTTTTCTTGCGTGTTGAGGGAAATAGATATTTTCTTGTGCATTTTGTATTAAAAGCCGGTTTTGTTCAAATGTTTGAAATTTAAAACCCCAGGCTATCGGCCTTTGTGATTTTATTTCTGATTTTAACTCAAACCGTGCTTATTCTCAACATGCCTCAGAAATTTAAATCTTTTCCCAAAATTTTTTCATATAAAAATGTGCCAGGTTACCATTTCCATAGCTTAAGCCATATATCAAATAATGGGAAATATTTATCTAATAAAATGTACATGCACAATAGCACGCTGAGTTATGTTCATGGGCTCTAACTTTAATTGTTCCTTAGCTTGCTTTTGCCAGTGAAAGTTCGGGTCTGGCCAGGATATATTGATTAAACTTGCCTGAATCATGGCAATTGAGATTCTCCTGATCCATTATGATGTTTCTCTAAAGATTTAATGTAAATCAAGATCTTTGGTAAAAAAATCAAACTGCAGACGCCATTTCAAAGTTAATACTGTCCAATCTCTAACGCAGTGATCTCCCCTTACAGGTACTGGCCGTAGCGTAACCAGTGCGCGGAGTTTGAATACTGTCAATGAAAACTGGAAATGGACATAAATATGACTAGGAATAAAACTTTACCGAATGCGTATGATGAATTGATTCTGTAACAACATCAGCATTCGACAATGTTTTATACATGTGCATTTGGTAATGTTTTATACCTGGCCAAGAGGTCGATATTTTAGTCGAGTGCGAGTTATATCAAAATAAGTATTCAGTTATGTTGAAGATTATAATTTTTATTATAGATCTATCAAAAGAATGAAAAGTGTAATAAACATTAACAACATGTAAATGTATAAAGGCGATTAAACCAATACAGACAGGTAATAGTAAAGTTGAGTCTTATGTTTAATTTTTACAATTTTTGTTCATCAAAACGCAGGGCAAGTACATTTTATGAAGGGCGGGTATATTTGAAGGGTAAATTTGACCCTAGAAAAATTCATCGAGGCCTGAAATCTATGATTGCTATTGAAGGCACTTGAGTGCTATGGAAAGTCACCGATTAATATGGAAAGTCAATGGTTGCTATAGTAAATACTGTGACCATTATTAAAAATGCTGCTCAAATCAATTATTTATACTTCGAGTTACACACTACAACATCTGTGACCAACTTAATATTTTTTTGCTTGAATTTACAAATGCACAATACTGAAAGAACATATCAATATCGTGAATTATGACAATTGTAATATTTTACAAAACATTTACTGCACATTTCATTTCAACATATTCAAAGCATTTTCCGGCTTATCCATTGCAAATTTATAGAGAGATCTTGTTTTTGTCAATTAAATGTAATTTAAATGCCACTGATTGAAAATAATTTGTTATTGTTTTTTATATCGCCGATTCGACACCATGTTATCGTAAAGAGGGATTAAAACGTGACATCACTTTAAAACCTGTCACTATAGATACTGGTTTTGACTGGATGACTCAATAACCAAACTGACAGGTTTTGTTTTCGTGCCATTACATGTCTAGATTTTACAAGAGCGATCAGTAATCACATGTGTCGCCTCATGATGGCCAATTTCATGTTGGGACAAATTTTGTGACAGACGGATAGACAGACGGACAGTGCACAACTAGACTAACCACTTTGTACTGATCATTCCTGTAAAATTTGGATAAAATTGCACCAGTAGTTTATGAGGAGTAGTCCGGACAAGCTTTTGCGTATCTGGCAACACACAGAAAAAAACACCTTTTTATCAAAGGGCCATAACTCGGCCAAAAATCATTCAACCGGAAAACCCGTGCAATATGCGCAAGGACTTGAGCTACAGATCAATCCTGTAAAGTTTCATTGAAATTGCATAAGTGGTATAAGAGAAGTAGTCTGGACAAACTTTAAAAATAAAAAATTAAAGGGCCATAACTCAAACAAAAATCATTGAACCGGAAAATGCTGACAATATGCACAACTAGACTTGGTACTGATCATTCCTGTAAAGTTTGGATGAAACTGCACCAGTAGTTTATGAGGAGTAGTCCAGACAAGCTTTTGCGTATCTGGCAACACACAGAAAAAGAAACCTTTTTATCAAGGGCCATAACTCGGCCAAAAAATCATTCAACCGGAAAAACCCGTGCAATATGCGCAAGGACTTGAGCTACAGATCAATCCTGTAAAGTTTCATTGAAATTGCATTAGTGGTATAAGAGAAGTAGTCCGGACAAACTTTAAAAATAAAAATTATTAAAGGGCCATAACTCAAACAAAAATCATTGAACCGGAAAATGCTGACAATATGCACAACTAGACTTGGTACTGATCATTCCTGTAAAGTTTGGATGAAATTGCACCAGTAGTTTATGAGGAGTAGTCCAGACAAGTTTTGTGACGGACGGACGGACAGACGGACGGACAGACGGACGGACAGACGACGGAGAAGTGATCCCTATATGCAATATATGCAAAATGTTTGTGGTTTATACCGTATCTTAAAGTTGTAAAAATATTCATTTTTTGTGTTCTTCATTTTGTGGTGATTTTATTGTTGTTTAATCATAATTTGTTAGAGCTTGGGCTCGCCAGGTGTCTTGTTTCGTATAAAAGACGTATACGTGAAAAGATATTTCATATAAGTGGCTGATAAATGATGTGTGTTTGTTTTGGGTGTAAATAATGATCAAAGTTCTTTGTTTTGGGTGTAAATAATAATCAAAGTTTGTTGTTTACATGTATATATTAATTTAAAATAAAAAAGAATAAAAATACCTAAAAAAAAGATAGTGTTAACTAAACAATTACATGCTAGTTTTCCAACTGAAAATATTTCACTTTTATGTCAGGCGGTGCTGCCCAGCCTCCATATCTTAAAAATTGGTTCTAGTATTTATTACTAAATCTTTTCTTAAATTAAATAACATCAAGGCAAACATTTCTCCTGACAATTTTGATATAGCTCTTCCTCACGTTCATCTTCTTTTGCTTTACGCTCGGCCTCAAATCGCCGTTTATCTTCTTCACGTCTAATATTTCTCTCTTCTCTATCAAGATATTCTGATTCTTTCTTTTGAACATAATCACGTAACTCCCCGTCCTTCAATCCAAGCCTCTCTCCCATTGATACCCATTTATCATAATCCATAATTGCTTAATAATGCTATTAAAGAAATAATAAACTTTTACGAAACCCGTAAAGTAAACACTTATTAATCAACAAAATGGTGTACCTCTGTAGCACCGACAATCGTTATTCCACAAAAAGCACCCATGGCCCTTTTGCTGCTGATTTTTTTGCGTCATTTTCATTTATTAGCGCCAATGGCGCAAACTTGTAGCCTCAGCATTTATGATCTCTGCATGACCGAATGGCAGAGGAATTGCATTAACTAATAGCTCACCATGAGAACATTGTCCTCAGCTGAGCTAAAAATACCTATATCTTTGAATAATCAATCTTTAAACTATTTCAACATGTATAAAAAATCTAGATAAAAAAAAAGAAACCTGCTCTCTGAAATCCTGTAGTTTTTTTCTTTCTTTCTCCTGCTGTTTTTCTATCATTTCTTTCTGAGCTGAAATATATTAAGGTGTATTGAATAGAAAATAAAAATATATCTACCAAAGGAATACTGATGCATGATGACACTGGGAAAAAGCACGGGCGTTCAGCACATTTGTCTTGCCAATGATAGTCAAATTATCATAAAATAATCTCCCATTGATCATTAACATCCAGCACCCTTTTACTATATAAAATATACAATCAACTGATATGGTGAATGCCCAATAAAGCTTGCCTGATAATTATTTTTGATATCAGGTTAGTAACTGGGCGCCACCATTTTGAAATCCCTTTGAGCTAAATATAGATATCAGAGTGCTTTTAATGAGCGTCTATATAATTTAGACTTTTGCTAGCAGACGCATGCTAAATAAAACTTCCGGTGAAAGAATGATGTGCAAAATCAGAAAGTAAAAATGCATTTCATTTATAAAAGTTATAGTAACGTTTATAAATATAAAAAGTTACTTTAACATATCCTTTTTTGATAAATTAGCACATTAAATAATAACGTTAAAGCAACAACTGTGATTAGAGTTTAACAAAAATGGTGAATAGGATTTTCCAAACGCCAACGCATGCGCAGTGGTCCCCCTTTACGTTTGGAGATTTTCAGAATATTCCGAGAGCTCCTACGATAGGTTGAACACCACCAATTTTTTCTTTTTGTTCGCGGTACAAAATACCTGCAAGAAAGATCTGGTTTACACGTACACTAAACATGTTATGATAATTAAATCATAATTCATAAGAGCTTTCGGCGCCATAACAAGCACCTAATTTCATATTAAAATAAGGACAGATTGCCCCTTGTAGGTAGTCCTAATGATGAGACCTATACGTAACCTTTTTCATATTTATCATTCATTTATCTGATATTTTACATTTTTCATTTTCCATGTTAAGTTAGGTCTTAACAGATCTTTGCAAAATCGTGTAGCAAACAAATTAACATTAGACATCAATTTAGATCTAATACATTTAAACAATTAAGACAGCGTGTATTTACATTAATTTTGACCTATTAATGAAAAAAAATTAAAAAATAAATACCTTTTAACAAAATAAATAAAATGTCACATTTGAAAAATCATGATTAACCCTTTCACTGCCATAGGGACGGCTTAAGCCGTCCCTGTTATTTTCGGCGTATTTGCCATATGGACGGCTTTAGCCGTTTCTACAATAATAATAGTAATAATTATAAATTAATAATAACAAGCAAATTCGTTGAATTTATATCCCCCGCCGAGTACTGGTTATTATTAACACAACAACTGAAGACATAAGGCTTTATTTATATATTAATCATGGCATAAACTGTAATATTCTTTGAACTTGAAGCCTTGTACTGTCAAACAAGAAATTTTTTTAAGTTTTCACTATATACATATAAGGAAAATCTATGACCCCCTGGAGTGGGGCCAATTTTGACCCCAGGGCTAAAATTTGAACAATTTTGGTAGAGGACCTATAGGTTATATCATATACCAAATATCAAAGCTCTAGGCCTTGTACTTTCAGACAAGATTTTTTAATTTTGCATTTTTGAAACTCCTTTTCTGGCCCTGTGACCTACTTATGCAACAGACCGGAACCATTTGATCAACTTTGGCAGGGGACCACCCTAGGATCATTCCTGTAAAGTTTGGTTGCTGTGCAGTCATTTGTTTCTGAGGAGATGTTGTTTAAAGAAATTGCTGACGACGCACGACAACGGACGGTGGGGGATCACAATAGCTCACCTAGATGTAAAAACATCTTAATCTCCAGACTTTATTGCCATATTCAAGGCATCAAGAAGGGATCTCACAATTTTCAAATATTTTTAAATGTTATTGTAACAAATCATTTTAATTCTTCTTTAATAAAAACTAGAAATGTGTCCATGGGACACGGGTGCCCCCACCGCGCCACTGTTCTGTCAATCTTATGACTCTAGGTCAAATATTTTTTTGAAAACTAAAAATCTTTTTACTAAGTAAAGGGCAAGAACTTTACAAATACTGAATAAATCCCCAAGCAAACCCCAAGTTGAAAATTGCAAATTTATACTACTGTAATTCAAGGGCAATAACTCTAACAAAACTGAAAAAAATCCACATGCAAAGTCCCAGGTTCATAGCTTCACAGTGAGGTGAATCATTATTCCTGTAATTTAGTGATGTTGATCATTATTCCTGTAAAGTTGGTCGATTCTAACACTCAAGGATCAAATAACAACATAATGAAACAGTTTTTACTAAGTCAAGGGAAATAACTCTACAAATACTGGATAAATCCACAAGCGAAACCCCAGGAACACACTAAATATGCTGAGCAACTTTCCAATAAGGTTTAATGACTCTATGTCAAATCCTTTTTGAGTTACATGCGACACATGTTGAAAACTGCAAACATTTTCTAGGTCAAGGGCAATAACTCTAAAAATACTAAATAAATCCAGACGAAAATACCCAGGTGCACAACTACACATGCTGATCAACATTCCTGTAAAGTTTCATGACTCTAGGTCAAATCCTTTTTGAGTTATGTGCGACACAAGTTGAAAATTACAAAATTTTACTAAATCAAGGGCAATAACTCTAAAAATACTAATAATATCCAGACGAAAATACCCAGGTGCACAACTACACATACTGATCAACATTCCTGTAAAGTTTCATGACTCTAGGTCAAATACTTTTTGAGTTACATGCGACACAAGTTGAAAATTACAAAATTTTTACTAAGTCAAGGGCAATAACTCTAAAAATACTAAAAATATCCAGACGAAAATACCCAGGTGCACAACTACACATACTGATCAACATTCCTGTAAAGTTTCATGACTCTAGGTCAAATACTTTTTGAGTTACATGCACACAAGTTGAAAATTACAAAATTTTACTAAGTCAAGGGCAATAACTCTAAAAATACTAAAAATATCCAGACGAAAATACCCAGGTGCACAACTTCACATGCTGATCAACATTCCATAAAGTTTCGTTGAATTCCAGCCATTAGTTGCAGAGAACTACTCCGGAAACGAAAAAAAATTTTTTACTAAGTCAAGGGCAATAACTCTAAAAATACTAAAAATATCCAGACTAAAATACCCAGGTGCACAACTTCACATGCTGATCAACATTCCCATAAAGTTTCGTTGAATTCCAGCCCTTAGTTGCAGAGAACTACTCCGGAAACGAAAAAAAATTTTTTACTAAGTCAAGGGCAATAACTCTAAAAATACTAATAATATCCAGACGAAAATACCCAGGTGCACAACTTCACATGCTGATCAACATTCCCATAAAGTTTCGTTGAATTCCAGCCATTAGTTGCAGAGAACTACTCCGGAAACGAAATTCGGACGGACGGATGGACGGACGGACGGACGGAAGGACGGAAGGACGGACGGACAACGCCAAAACTATATCCCCCTCCCGATTTCATCGGCGGGGGATAATAATAATAAAAATAATTATATATATAAAGAAAATTATACCATCGACAATAATTATTATTATACTAACAGAATTGGAAACATATATAATTATTATAATACTAATAACAAATAATAATAATTATATTAATTAATAATATAGTAATTTCTTAGAAAATCCTCTGGCAAATAGGTGAACAATAAAACAATAACCCTCTGGCAGCGAAAGGGTTAAATCCTCATTTAATTTAAATACCTTATACAGCCGATATACAAATCATGAAATGGCCGCCATACAGCGCGAGAAATCTGATTGGCTTCTTCAAATGCAAGCGTTTAAATGAGTCCAGAAGTTTCTAACAGAATATTTTGTCAACGAAATAATTGCCCATGCACCGTCAGTGTGTTCGAATATATTTTTCCGTTCAAAAATTTGGAATCAATCTGTAAAGCACTTTACTTCACCAGTATGGCTGATAGACAAAAATACATTGATGTTTATATTTTATTTTTAATTGGTAAGTACATTGTTTGAGAGTTTTTGTTAATGATTGAGCATGAAATTGAAAGAAAAAAAGATAAGCTTTTCAATTTTGAATAAAGCTTGAAAGGCAAGACAATAGACATTTTTAGATTTTTTAAAATTGCTATGTGTTTATTAGCAATAACTATTAGACGTCAGGCTTGACTGACATTATCCCTGGTTCTCGTATTCTCGGGGTTTCTCGTATTCTCGGGGAACAATTAAAACGGATGGAAGCGACGCTCGCGACTCCCGTCGATATCCGAAAACATGTCTATTTAGCAGAGCATTTTCATTTCTATTAAAAAAATAAAGAAATGTGACAAAAGTAGATAAAAAACAAAAATAACTGTGAAAATAATCGTAAAATCCAGAGAATAAACATTAAATTTATCTATTTTTTCTCCCAAAATAATCAATTTTCTAGTTTTTTCCATGTGTCAGAAACCTGTAGCGGGTCTCTGACGCAAGACGCTAAAATCAAATGACGGTCTCACACTACTATTTATACAATACAGCTCAAAATATTTGTTCCACGAATAGATAGTTTAAAAAAGATATGAACTCCAATAATGAAACATTGTTTATCCTAAACACATTTCATTTTGGAGAACTGCAATGAAAAACAGTAGTATTTGTTGCTTAATGCTCATATAACTAATAAGTTAATAAATAAACGTAAACTGAATTATATATTAAAGGGATTGTGCATGTAAATAACAACAATAAATTGAGTTCAAACAATTTTTGGAACAGTCAAAATCATTTGGTACAAGAGGCCTCAAAATGAACCTAAAAGTTTCATATGGCATGCCAAGCTGTTATTGAAACACAATCAAATTACAGATTTAAGCCATTTAACACTTAATTAGGTGTGGCACTAATGATTTGAACTGGTATGTAGAATAAAATCATAGCGACCAGCCTTAACAACCAATCAAATTCCACGAGAATACGAGAAAGCACCTACTTCACATAGAGGGTGAAGGTCAGTATATACAAGCAGAAATATCTTTTGTTTTGCTTACAGTTACGATCTTTCTTTCTTTATATTTTGTTAATAAGGTATTTCTCTGTGTATCAGGCTAAAAATACTGTAACATAATGTTTTATAAATATTATGCAACCAAGTTTAGTCCTTAACCCCCCGAGAATATGAGAAAACAGGATAAACTATAAAAAGCCTCAGTGATTTTTTTCCCTGTATTTTACAGCCGAATAAAGGCTGTTTCCCCTAGCTAAAAATAGGTATATGTTCCCCTAAAAAAGCTAATATTTTCCCCTGTAATGCCCTGTGCACTTCACCAGAACCATTACTTAACAGCATCTGACTTATTATAATCAGCTATTCTGCTATGTACCATGCATGATAAATTGAATTGAAATTAAAATTTTTATAAAATGTGTGGGTACATGTAAATTCCACTCTCAGTTGTTGGAATTTGATTTCCCCCTTTTCTGATTTATCCCTCTATACTTTCCCCTTCAGAAAGCCACAGGTTGTTTTGAAAATTGGAAAAAAAATCACTGAGCCTGTAACGTATAATATGCGGAAAGTCCGAGCGGGGCTGTAGCGCTCTTAGATAACATGTATGACGCGAATCAATTCAAATGAAATCAAATTAAAAGTAAATGAAAATTTCAAAAAAATATAATATTATATCCTATACCTAATGAGCTGTGAAAAAATCCTTAGTTAACTGGGTGCCGCCTTTTTGAAATCCTTTAAAGCTAAATATAGATTTCAGAGCGCTTTTAATGAGCGTCTACATAATTTAGACTATTACTAGCAGACGCATGCTAAATAACACTTCCGGTGAAAGAATGATGTGCAAAATCAGGAAGTAAAAATGCATTTCATTGATAAGACTAGAGTAACGATTATAAACGTAAAAAGTTACTTTAACATATCCTTTTTTGATAAATTAGCACATTAAATAATAACGTTTAAACAACAACTGTGATTAGAGATTAACAAAAATGGCGGACGGGATTTTCCAAACACCCACGCATGCGCGGTGGTCCTTTACATCCGATGATGGGTTGAACACCACCAATTTATTTATTTTGTTTACGGTACAAAATACCTGCAAGAAAAATCTGGTTTTCATGTACAATAAACATGTTCTGCTGAAATCATAATTCATAAGAGCTTTCCGTGCCATAGGTAGCACCTAATTTCATATTATATTGGACTATCTACGTAGGTTGTCTTTGCTACAATATTCAATCATTGTCAATCAATGTATTTTACCGAATTTTATTCTTCTAACTTTTGTTGTCTGTATTGAACAGTTAAGTACCACGGAAATATGTGGCACCAGTATATTATTTTCTTCAATTATGACAATGTATGTCATAGATGTCATTCGTCCATTAAATTAAAGCGAAAGTAAAAACTAATTCGCGAATTTATATTACATTTACATACGTGTCTATCCTTCAATGAAGGCTTCATGAAAAATTAAAGTCTTTTAACCTTTGATCTTTTTCTTTTCGGCATCACTGGCAGATGGTGGTTTTTCCATAGACCCAAGTATAGACCCTAGTAGATCCATTGTAATGGGTAAAACTTTTTTTTTGTATTTTCTTCGTAATCTTTAGACGCTTGAATTCAATCTAATATTCGGAAAACCTTGGGCGATTTCGAGTCGTTTCGGCCCCAAAAAATTCGGCCCCCAAAATTACCCAAGATTTTTCGATCCCAGAGGTTTCGGCCCTTTACTAAATGTTCAGAATAATGAGGCTAAAATAGGGCCTAGTAGTAATCAAAACAAACAGAACATGACTTTATTAAGGTGACAACAGACACTTTCCGTGGTACTCACATAAATGTCATTTAAACCAAGTTATTTTAGTAATAATTGTTATTCATTTAATCTTTGTGCATTAAATGTCGTTGATCATCATAAAAAATAACATATTTGAAAAAAATGCCTTTGTAAATGATTGATTTTGAATAAAAATCCTAAAAATTTTAAATCGTCATATCAAAGTCATTTTTATTTTTTTTTGTCATCAAACTTTTGGAAAATAACCATACTTATATTATCTGGGGAACCGTGTCTCAAATTTTTTATATCTTTTTCTCAAAAAAATATTACGTAACGTCAAACCAAATATGCGACTTTTTTCACCATACATATTACGTAATTAAAGATAATTAAGTCGCTGATTGAGCAAACAAAAATCCCTGACACGGTTCCCTCCGTAAATGAATTTCCTTTCATGTGCTTTAAAACGCATGTTAATTGCTTGATTATTAAAAAAGTTATGCCGATTCAAAGTTAGTCCGACCCGCATCAAACGAAGTGTCATAAATCGGCTGTTCTCTCTCGGACCCCTACGTTTCACGCTAAATAATTGCATAATACACAAATATCGCACCAGAGAGGATCACAAGTTGCGGTAACATACTCTAACAACATTTTATGACCCAGTGACATCTGACCAATTAAAAAGCTGCTGATTAATATCAGTTTATAGCCGAAATTTCTTCAATTCTTAACGTGATTTACTGTTCGTCTGGTATCTGTCGCACATGTCACGTGACTATCGGTAAAATTTGAGGCACTCAGTGGGGGCAAATGGAACGCATTTGCGCACCGCTAGCGGGGTATTTAATTGTTTCCTATTTGAAGTTTATTATTATTATCATCAGCATTATTATTGTATTATACCAGTGTCACTCTGCCTGTGTATTCGTGTATGAAATTCCGTTAAAATATAAAATAAAATAACAAAAAACTGAGCTTCTGACAGTCTTTTTAAAGTCCATGGTAGATGTACAAATAAGAACGGGATAGTATATATTTTTTCCACCAAATTGATAATGCTTCACATATTTTAATAGAAATAAAAGGCATTACTCGATCATCATGATGTGGCCTTCTTGACTTCTATTATCATGAATATCATCTATGCACGGCATAGAGATCCAGTTTCTACCGGGATAGACAATAAATTTCATACTTTGTCCCAGATTTATTAGTACTGTGTCGGATTTACTGGCGAACAATTTATTTTCACTGAGAATATATTTTAATATCTTTTTTTATTCATAGAGAAATAATCATCCTTAGACAATCTAAAATGGTTTTAGAAATTTGTCAGGGACACCTTACCACAAGTCATATAAGCGTTCACATAAAAAATGTCGCCTGTTGTTGTTTTACTTGACATTGTTAGAAAACGAGGTTGAATGTAAAGTAAGCCCTTGAATCCGTACAAAAGTCTATCAACTCAATGTTATATATATTAGATTAACGGGATAGACAAATTATTTTCACACATTATGGATATTTTAGCAACTACATTTTTAATCAACCCCGTGGTCGTGCGATTTGCCGCTATGCTTAATTATTTATGTTTCATACATTATGTTAGGTACATTGGCCGACAATTTCTTAATTTATAAAAAAGGCTAAATGTTGAGATATTCATAAAAGATGTACGGTAGATGAACGATACATGTATTACGAGAAGTATGGACCAGTATGGACCTGTAATTCACGGATATATGGAACTACCGATTTCCCTAATTGATGCCTCAACAGGGGGCGGAGCGTTATCGATAATCGACAGGTTACGCGAATAGCAGATACAAATAGTATAGGTACCGTTTTAAATCGTTTAAAAACACATTTTTTGGACTAACTGCTTCCAAAATTAAATCACGAATGTGTTCAGAAAAGGTTGATAAATCTACTTAGCAAAAAATCTCATTTTAGGTATTTTCAGTGATAATTGACTCCGTTGTCACCTTAAATAGATGTTTTTTTATCAGAACGTTAAGGTGACAACAGAGTCAATAATCACTGAAAATACCTAATTAATGAGATTAATGAGAAACAGACAACATTTTTTTATGTGAACGCCTATATGACTTGTGGTGAGGTGTCTCTGACAAATTTCTAAACCATTTTAGATTGTCTAAGGATGATTATTTCTCTATGAATAAAAAAAAGATATTAAAATATATTCTCAGTGAAAATAAATTGTTCGCCAGTAAATCGGACACAGTACTAGTAAATCTGGGGCAAAGTATGAAATTTATTGTCTATCCCGGTAGAAACTGGATCTCTATGCCGTGCATAGATGATATTCATGATAATAGAAGTCAAGAAGGCCAGATCATAATGATCGAGTAATACCTTTTATTTCTATTAAAATATGTGAAGCATTATCAATTTGGTGGAAAAAATATATAATATATACATCTACCATGGACTTTCAAAGACTGTCAGAAGCTCAGTTTTTTGTTATTTTATTTTATATTTTAACGGAATTTCATACACGAATACACAGAGTGACACTGGTATAATATACTAATAATGCTGATGATGATAATAATAAACTTCAAAAAGGAAACAATTAAATACCCCGCTAGCGGTGCGCAAATGCGTTCCATTCCCCCCCCCCCCATTGAGAGCCTCAAATTTTACCGATAGTCACGTGACATGTGCGACAGATACCAGACGGACAGTAAATCACGTTAAGAATTGAAGAAATTTCGGCTATAAACTGATATAAATCAGCAGCTTTTTAATTGGTCAGATGTCACTGGGTCATAAAATGTTGTTAGGGTATGTTACCGCAACTTGTGACCCTCTCTGGTGCGATATTTGTGTATTATGCAATTATTTAGCGTGAAACGTAGGGGTCCGATCGAGAGAGAACAGCCGATTTATGACACTTCGTTTGATGCGGGTCGGACTAACTTTGAATCGGCATAACTTTTTTAATAATCAAGCAATTAACATGCGGGTTAAAGCACATGAAAGGAAATTCATTTACGGAGGGAACCGTGTCAGGGATTTTTGTTTGCTCAATCAGCGACTTAATTATCTTTAATTACGTAATATGTAGGGTGAAAAAGTCGCATAAAATGTTTGACGTTACGTAATATTTTTTTGAGAAAAGATAGTAAAAATTTGAGACACGGTTCCCCAGATAATATAAGTATGGTTATTTTCCAAGTTTGGTGACAAAAAAAATAAAATAAAAAATGACTTTGATATGACGATTTAAAATTTTAGGATTTTTATTCAAAATCAATCATTTACAAAGGCATTTTTTTCAAGTATGTTATTTTTTATGATGATCAACGACATTTAATGTACAAAGATTAAATAAATAACAATTATTACTAAAATAACTTGGTTTAAATGACATTTATGTGAGTACCACGGAAAGTGTCTGTTGTCACCTTAAATATTATCAAGAAGTTATAACAAATCATAAGTTTAAAAAGTTTTGAAGTTTCTTTGATATTATTAATCGCTAATTAGCTATAAGCTATATAAATATTTAATTTGTTACATATTAAAAAAAAAAAAAAAAAACACCAACAATTTTAAAGATCTATATAGTTAAATAGCTATTAAATAATAAATAGAGATCAAAAGAGATAAGTGTCTTAATAGTTAAGGATTAAAGTGTCTTTCTTAATTGTTTCACCTTGAAAAAATCTAAATAGTTGAATTAATTTTAAGAGACTGATAAGATTATTAATTAAGGATTGAAGTGTCTTAATTGTTTGTGTGCCATCAATCAATAAACTACATTTTTTAACGATTTTAAGTATGAAAATTCATTTTTAAATAACATAAAAAGGGCCGAAACGTCTCGCGAAAAAGGACCGAAATGTCTTTGCGTTCGAATTTTGCACATGGGGCCGCATTGTATACACACCGGTCTCTCAAATATCGTCAGTAAGACCGGTGTACACAATGCAGGGGGCCGATCTTGATTCGAGTCGAAACGTCCAGTTTGCCCTTGGGTGACCTAGGTCAGACTTTAGCACTAATTTTACATAGACTTTCATTGTAAAAAGGGACACCTAAGCAGACGTTAAAATTGAGTTTTCATCATACAGGCGTGATTTTCTGGGAGAATGAAATGCCTGACACATAAAACTCATCTCGTTATAGAGGGGTAGCCAACCATTTTTTTTCGCAAAATGACTAAATGACTTCAAAGAGAATCCTCACCCACAACCCCTTGCGCTAGATTCAACGACCCTTGAAATTTATCAATTTTTGCCATCTTATTCAAGTTGCCAAAAAAAGGGGGAAAAAAGATCAGATCTATCTCTGAAACGACAAGGGGTATCAACAAGAAACTTTGTAGGTGTAGATAGATCTCATTAAGTAAAAGTTCAGTGCAAAAGAACTGTACGTAACTCTGCCTTTCGTAATTTTACACATTGCTATTTGTCTGGGACATAACTCTTAAACTATAAGAGATATCAACAAGAAGCTTTGTCATTCAATTTGGGTAATATGCAATGTAAAGGAACCGTAACTTTGCCTAGTCTAATTTTGGAGTTATTGCCCTTTGTTCGTTTTTACACGGGAGATAACTCTGAAATCACAAGAAGTATCAACAAGAAACTTTGTAGGGAAATAAGCTCATTGAGTAGATGTGCTTTGCAAAAGAAAAGTAATTCTTCTTTGCCTTATTTCGGAGTTATTGCCCTTTGTTCATTTTTACACTTAACTTTGTCCGGGACATAACTCTGAAACTACAAGAGGTATCAATAAGAAGTAGTTTCTGTGTACAAAACCTGTTTGGGGAGCATCACCCGGTTCAACCGGATCTTTTTTCGTATTTTGAATGTGTTATCCCATGTTCCAACTTTGAACCTCTGTATAAAAACTAAGGTGCAAAAAAACAAAAAACAAAAACGCACAACTTAACTGTAATCTGTAATTTATCAATAAGTTATGTTCCCATATGAATTAACTTAATTAAGTGAAAGAAATGTACTGTTAGTTTTCTGTAATATAATGTTAAAAATATTATGTTTAAAATATTTGAATTTAGTAGACATGGCGTTCCATACATATCAATTACATTTTAAAGATAGCTCTGTGATAATGAACGCATATAGAACTTCAACAATTGACGTATATTTTACACTTGAATGCACTCCCTTAATTATTTGAGCCGCGTCACGACAAAACCAACATAGTGCGTTTGCACCCAGCATGGATTCAGACCAGCCTGCGCATCCGCGCAGTCTGGTCAGGATACATGCTGTTCGCTTACCAACCCTATTACAAGTAGAGAAACGGATGCGCAGGCTGGTCTGGATCCATGCTGGTTGCAAACGCACTATGTTGGTTTTGTCGTGACGCGGCTCACTTGTTTGGCGCTATGTCTTTGCCCATGTTTAAACTTGTTGATTATTCGGCGGGTATAACCAAAGGTTGTCAATCACGTGACTTAATAATGACAAAAATGCGTAGATCTAATTGAACAAGGAAGAATCTAGAATAATGGATGAAATAAAAGGTTAGTTTGTTATAAATTTTTTTCTTTAGTTGTGTTTCGTAAGGTAAAGTAAGGAAAATGTAATGCAATTTTGATGTTTACAATATTTAGGCCTATACACTACTGTGTATTGAAAAAATAAATCATTGTAAATATATTTGACATAAACCCTAACTTCTGCTAGCTTCCAAAATTTCATGAGTCACTTTAAAACATTTTGTTCTTTCATCTGTTTGGGTCATTATCACAGTATATAAATAAACGTATATGATGAAGACATTTTGGCTAGAGCTGATTGGAATTTCGACCCATCTGGTCCCGCCACGCCATTTCCCGTTCAACCACTATTATTTTAAATTAATAGTGGTAAATGAATCATTGTGAATCATGTATTTATCCAATTTTCATCACAGAATATTTTATTTTTCTTACTTCCCTGCCTGATCGTGTCTGATAAGGGATCTTTAGCAGTTTAGGTCATTTGGGCTGGGCCTATCATAATTGATAAAGCGGTCATCATTGTAAAAATGATTGTTTGATGCTGAAATTTTCCTATCATTGGGAATGGGAAGGGGTATTTAGGACATTTTTAGCTTAAACTTTATGGGAAAATTCTTGGATTTCTGGAAATATTTTCCATTGTTTTGTTAAGCGTGTATCTATTTGTGTGATAAACATCACCAGGGGGGTATTTGTACAGAGTATGACTGGTCATTGTGAACTTTTACAACTTTTGCTGGTTCCCATAGTTTATTGACCTGGATTCTTACTCTTTCATTTAATTTTAAAAGGGCCTGAAATGTACCACCTTTTTTTACCTTTATTCAAAAAATTCAAAGCAGTTTTCCGGACCTTTTTTTTTTTGAATATATTTCAGTACCATAAAGCAAAGTTAAGATGGTTTTATCAGATAAACAGAACTTCCCAACCTTTCGGTGTCGTCTGCAAAAATATTTGTCGAAGTGTTGAGTTACATATACTGTCAATCTTAATGTACTATTTTAATTGCTGTTTAACATAGAAAACAAATGTCTCTCTGATTGATGAAGTAATGTAGATGCCTTACTGGTTAAAATAAACTGTACTGGACGAAAATGATAAACAGCCGGAAAACTGCTAGGGGACGGAAACTGCTAGGAAACCAGTATAGATACATCTTTATTCAACTCTTATAATATCTAAGGATGTCTTATTTTGTAACAATACATGTATGTATTGATGTCGGAATATGAAATGTTCAATAAAACAGGTCATAATAATCAAAATATATTATAATTGTTGCTTCTATTTTCAAACTGAATCTATATATTTTACATACACATAATATAAAACCTAAATAGCTTATAATAGAACTAATTCCCAAATATTGACCTCCTCGCATGTAATTTCCAGACCGAGAATGGAAAATAAAAAATATAAAATAAAATCCACCCACCCGCCCCATTAATTTTTCCAAAATTTGGATGAGAATCTAGTTATTTATTTTCTATTGCCTATTCAACCTGAGGTCTAGCATAGGTCTTATATGCAGTTTCCTTTATCATTTTATTTGGGGTTTTAACATTTCTTCAAATGAATCTAAGGGAGTTATTTGCTTTAGATGTTATATTGTTTATTATGTTTGGTCCATAAAAGGTCTAATGACTAATAGTGACTCCCAAGTAGTTTGCTTCTTGAGTTGAGTTTAGTTGGATGTTATGGAGGGAATAAGGAAATATTACAGGGTTTCTTTTTCTTGTTATCCTGAGAACTTCACATTTATCAGGGTTTTACTTAGTGGACCAGTCTTTTTCCCATGTTTCTAAAGCATGAAGGTTATTTTGGAGGGTTTGGGCATCTTGTTAAGATCTGATGGTAAGGTAGACAACAGTATCATCTGCAAAGAGTCTAGCCTTACCTTTTTCAGTATTCGGGAGGTCGTTATGTAAGAAAGGAAAAGGCAGGGACCTAATACCGAGCCTTGGGGGGACACACGAGAGGACTGGTAGAATTCCTGATTTTTGACCTTCAACTACAACTTGCTGGGAGCATGACTTAAGGAAGGAATGGACCCAATTTTAATCTCATAACTTATACCCAATCTTTCAAATTTACTCACAAGTTTGTGATGGTCCACCTTATCAAATGCCTTACTGAAATCCATCACTATGACATCAGTTTGTTGGCCACTTTCAAGATTGTCATGAATTTCCAGGGAGAAGCTTACTAGCTGGGACGCACAACTCCGTTTTGACCTTATAAGCAATGTTGATAGGGGCTAAGGATATTGTGCTTATCATAAAAGGACATAACTTTGAAAACTAAGATGTGCTCCATCAATTTGGACAATATACATGTGAGGGAGATTGGTCTATAATTGCTGGGTTTGCATTTTGGACCTTTTTGTAAACTGGGGCAATTATTGCATGCTTCCATGAGTCTTCTTGGACAATACCTGTTTCATGTGAGATCTGGAAGACGTGGGTCAGTATAGGGGTAACCTCATGATGGAGCTCTTTAAGTAACCTAGGGGATATTTGGTCAGGACCAGAAGCTTTATTTGGGTTTAGGCCTTTTAAAAGTTTATTTACACCATCTTCCGATATAGATACTTCTGCCATAGATGTTTGGGAATAAGCTGCCGTTTGCAAGTCTGGGATAAGCTAAGCTTAAGGGGCTGAGGCTGAGAGAAGACAGACTCAAACTGGGAGTTAAGGGTATTTGCTTTTTGCAACTGGATCAGTAAATGTTTGATCTTCTGATTTGAGGGGTGCTACACCACAGCTTTTAGTTTTGTTACTTTTAACATATTGGTAGGATTTTTTATTTTTCACAGTCTTGGCTAAAATGACTGAGTCTAGGTATTGCCAGTATGCTTTCCTAGTTTCTCCTTGGATTTCACTTTTAAGTACTTTTAGCATTTTTACAAAATCATTTGATGGGGACTTTGACCTTTTAATGTTTGATAATGTATTTCATAACAAAGAGGTGAAGATGAATACAAGTATCTGTGTGCTTCTTTAAAACAGGTATTTTTTTAACTACATGTATTGGTGAAGTAGTAAGGCATGATATTAAGTATTTATGTAAATATCACCTCCCGTGTTATGATTTCTAAAAGTATACATGTATACACATGTGAAATCGACCCTGTGATAATGACCTCAATAAATGTAAGTGAAGATGGAACAATAATTATGATAATTATCCATGGTGCTAGTTATACTTAATTACCTTTATCATTTCGTTATCTAAGCAAGAAGTTCATACATAAATCATATCAGATATTAGCTACTGAGTATCAATTGTCCAAGTCATCAAATATGTTTTCCGAAAATAAATATGAGCAAATGGAAACTCGCATCATTCATATGCCGTCCTCCATATTTCCCAAATGAAACACAAGGGTACATGCGTCTTCGCGCGCAAAGTGACGTAAATCATGCATAATTAAAAAAAGGGTCAAATTAAACCCTGGCCATTCAGGTAACTGTTTAATTTTCGCAGACTGGTAGTTAACGTAATTAAGTGAATATTAATGAGCCCAAACAAAGTTTGACACTATTATTTTTCTCTAATTTAGTATTCATCCGTAGCTGTTCTACAGAAATTAGAAACATTCTCCGGTCGCTATCAAATTGAAACTTCAATTTTTAAAATTTGCTAAACTTGAATATCTATTTACAGAATTGATTCATACTAACAAAAGAACACTCTTTACTCGATCGACATATTGAATAAATGAATTCATACCTGATCTTTGAATTGTCGTGACTGCCATGTTCAAATTATTGAGTATTGTTTAAATTGTCACAACCTAGTTATCCATTTACGGATTAGATTCATGATTTGATAAAACGCTATATCTGACCCATTAGATGCGTTAGATAATTGAAATAAGACAATGACTTTTAAATAATCTTGACCGTCAAGTTCAAATGATCAATTTTTGGTAATGAGTTTTAATTTCTTACTCGTTGTTTTTAACTATATCTGACTAAAATATCTTTTTAGATAGTTTAATTAACATCTCGTTAAAACTTAATTTGAATGGAAACTGTATAAATTACACGTAAAGACCAGTTATTGTTATTTCGCTGCACAAAATGGCCACCAGAGCTAAAAATAGATATGTCTGGCCTTCACAGATCAAACTACTGGTGGTATTTAAAAAAAAAACTGTACAGATGTGATCAGTGCCATCCTTAGTTGTGAACATCGCCAGCAAGTTTTGCTTCGCTGCACAAAATGGCCGCCAGAGCTAAAAATAGAAAAATCATGTCCTGCTGTCACATGTCAAATTTCTTGTGGGATTTCAACCAAACTTCACAGAGTGATTAGTGCCATCCCTAGTTGTGCATATTGCTGGCATGTTCTGCTTTGCTGCAGAAAATGGGCGCCACAGCTTAAATAGAATTATCTTGTCTGGCTTTTACAGGTCAAACTACTGGTAGGGTTTCAATAAAACTTCACATGAGTGATTTTTACCATTCCTAGTTGTTCCTATCGCCGGCATGTTCGGCTTTGCTGCACAAAATGGCTGCCAGAGCTAAAAAATAAAAAAGCTTGTCCGGCTAACACAGGTCAAACTGCTGATGGAATTTCCCCCAAAACTTCACAGGAGTTCAGAACCATCCCTAGTTGTGCATATAATGGCATGTTCGGCTTTGCTGCTACTGATGGGAAATCAATGACTCTTCACATGAATGACATTTTGTGACAAAAACCCTTCTAGTGTTTCTGACTTAAGTGTGTACATTTCTTTTAAGATATTTAAATATCTTTTTAAAAGTTAATAAGTATTGAAACTGTATAAATTACTAATAAACACCAGTTTTTGTTATTTTCCAGATTAAGATTGACATTCAACAATGTGATAATGTTACCTCAATAAGACAAAGTAAACAATGGCTTCATATAGCCCAAAACTATCAGAGAAGAAATACAATAACTGGGTTAAAGCACAGTTAGCAGTGTTGTTTACTAAAGACGGACTTGAACCTTTTGTATGTCATGAAGTTCAAGAATTCCGTTTGAAATGTTTAGATCATATTTGCTTCAACAATGGATTAATGAGTGGAACTTTGTGTTCAAATTGCTGTACAGAAAATGTTATCAAATGTCCAACAAATAAAATATGTAATGTTGGACATGGAAGATGCAGTTATCATCGAAATGCTGCAACAAGGTATAATCCTGCCGGCTGCCCTAACAAGATATGTCATAATTTTACAACTGAGATACAGAATGTACATAGGTTCTATGGTCCATCATACAAAAACACTGATGCTACACAGTGGTGCAGTAATTCCTGGGAGATAGCTAAATGTTTCATGCCCCCAGATGGATATACAGATGTAGTTAGTGCGCAAGAAACAGACTTCAATGGCATCATCAGCGTTATCATTAATTACAAAGAGTTTCAGTTGAAAGTACATGAAAACCTAGGCAACAAGAACAACATTTTTGAGAAGGTAAACAATATTTTCTTACAGTTTATATGCTCCCCGAAAAATTTCGGGAGAGCATATAGTCGGCGCCTTGTCCGTCCGTCTGTCTGTCCGTTAGCAATTTGGTTTCCGGAGCATAACTTAAGTTCCATCTGGCCCATAATATTCAAACTTCATAGGATGATTGTCCATATTAGGTAGAAGACCCCTATTGATTTTGGAGTCCTCAAGGTCAAAGGTCAAGGTCACTTTCACCTTAAAACTGAAAACAGTTTCTGGAGCATAACTTAAGTTCAGTTTGGCCCACAGTGTTCAAACTTCACAGGATGATTTTATGTATTAGGGGTCACAAGGTCAAAGGTCAAGGTCATTTTTACTTTAAAACTGAAAACAGGTTTCGGAGCATAACTTAAGTTCCTGCCATGCGGCCCACAATATTCAAACTTCATAGGATGATTGTCCATATTGAGGAGAAGACCCCTATTGATTTTTGGATTGCCTGGTCAAAGGTCAAGGTCACCATTGCCTTAAAACTGAAAACAATTTCTGGAACATAACTTAAGGTTCTATTTGGCCCACAGTGTTCAAACTTCATAGGATGATTGTCCATATTGGGTAAAGACCTCTATTGATTTTGGGGTCACAACGTCAAAGGTCAATGTCACTATTACTTTCAAACTGAAACAGTTTCCGGAGCATATTTACTTAAGGGTCTATTTGTCCCACAATATTCAAACTTCATAGGATGATTGTCCATATTTGGTAGAAGACCCCTATCGATTATGGGGTCACAAGGTCAAGGTCACTATTACTTTAAAAACTGAAAACAGTTTCCGGAGCATAACTTAAGTTCCATATGACTCACAATATTCAAGCATATAGGATGATTTACCATATTGGTTTAAAGACTCCTATTGATTTTGGGGTCGAAAGGTCAAGGTCACTATTACTTTAAAACTTAAAACAGTTTCCGGAGCATAACTTAATTTCTATTTGGCCCATAGTGTTCAAACTTCATAGGATGATTGTCCATATTTGGTTGAACACCCCTATTGATATTAGGATCATACAGTCAAAGTCGAACGGCCGAATGTACCGTTTATCTTTGTATGTACTTCAATACATCTATTAAAATGAATTTGTATAGTTTTCTATTTAGGATATTTTTAGCATGAGCTCTTTTCACCAAGATAAAACGAGTATTTATTTCTATTCGTCAATAGTTGTGCTCGAGTAAAATAATTATGATAATTTATAATTGGTTTTCATCATAATCACGCATGCTTGCAATCTGCAATGTACGCTTGATTTAAATGAAAAGAAATCTTTATCTTCCATAAGTAAAAGTCACCCTTAAATTATAAAAGAAGATATTCAAAATCTTGTTTATTCTCAATCATAGAAAGAAAACGAAAAGAGTTTAGAAACAAAATATTATATTTTATGAGAAATTGACATAGGGAGTAAATCTTAAACTGAAATAGCAATTATTTAAATTCTAAAAAGTACGCTCTCGGGTATTGAATATATGACTAATATTTCTTAATCAAATGCTCTTCAAAATGGAGGACGATGGTAAACAATCAGTTCGTTATATGTAAATCTGTTCGCTATAAAAACTCCTGATACAGGGAACTAATTCGCTATATGCTTACAAGGAACTCCGGATATAAGGAACAGATTTTGAATGTCCCAATTAGTTCGTTATAAGCGGAGTTTACTGTATTATGCTCCGCCTAGCGGTGCTCTTGTTGATAACTTCTATACCATCTTTATTTTTTACCCAACCAATAAAGGTCATATGGCATTTTTACAGCTTTACTGGAAAAGAAAAACCTCTGGTTCCCTTCCTTGTATTATTTCAGGCATGAACGGACATTTGAGTAGTTCTTGTTTGAAAGAATCTGACGTCTCTGTCGGAATTTGAAGCCTCAGTGGCACATTGTTGAAGGCAACTACCTTAACCACTCAGCTACAGATGCCCCTATACTATCTCATCAGTTTTATATACCATATATCCGATCAGGGTCTTTCAAATAGAATGGTCTGGAGACGGACCAATTTTACGAAAAAAGCTGTCTCGGGTTGAGTCACGTGATTGGGTTATCTAGCGCATAGCACATCACCATTCAAAAATCAAATTGTAAGATAATGTTTTGTTAAATCAATCAAAAACTTATTAAAAACTAACACTGACTACATTATATTATCAGTTTTTACTTTAAACATAACAATTTTATAGATTTGCAATGAAATAAGGAATTTTTCGTTCCCGCTGTCAAGGTAAAAATCTAATGCTCATATTTGAAAATAAGTCTGAGTTTCATGAGCTTTTTTTTAAAATTTATGCATTGTTCAATGACAAAATAAAAAAAACGATTTTACAGAGAAAAGATGTTTTTAAATAGTATCATGTAAAAATATTATAATATTTCACGATGTTATTTGCAAATATTTGCTGATTAATTTGGTGCATTTTCAAAATGGCGCTGTTTATCGGAAAAATATTCTGAACAAACAACTTATGTTTTTCAACAAATATGTCTTTAAAAAACATTAATTTCTGAAATATTTATCCTTTTTTCACAAGTTTAAAGATTTTTAAATAACATCATGTCATTAAAATTTTCATTTTTGCTCTTGTATTTAATATTTGCCCTTTTCTTGAACACTTACATAATTTGCGTATAGCAAACTATACCTAGTTATACAGAGACATGTGTAATTGTAGTGAGAAGGGTTTACATAGCGTGTTTCAAGACCATTCTACTTGAAAGACCCTGATCCAATATAGAGAAAGCTAACCATGTTTTATCATTCAAAGAAAACATTGCTTTACTCATTTAATCTATTTTTTTGTAAATTTAATCTAAATACACATAGATGTTTGTAGATTTGATTTAATTGTTTTATCTTTACCAGGCAAGAGACATTGGTAGAAATTTGAGGCATTCACCAACGTTAGAGGTAGAGGATATAGACCTTCATCAATACTTCATAGTATTTCAACAACTTCTTTCTGATGCCGGATATTTAGCTACAGACATGCATGCACAAAATGCCAAACAGAAGCTGATAGATGTAAATATGCACACAATTTTAGTTAACCATACAAGTTGTAGTTTAAAATAGATAATTTTTTATAAATGCACTAAAAATTGCTTTACTGATAAAGATAATGCCTTACACACAAAAACAAATCATTTTAAATTGATCACTAAGTATATTCTTGAGCTGAAGGTGATTATTCGGTTTGTGTTATTAGCTTGACGTTTTCGAAGAAAACAGAGCAGTTAATGCCGTTGTATTTGCCGTTGCCGTACAAAAGCTTTAATGTTGATCATGATGTTCTTATTTTTCAATAGCTTGCCTTCCTTTTTGGACACAACAACCCTTTGGATATCGACCGAACTTCACTTAAAAATGTTATCAAATATTTTACTTTTGCTATACGTGGATATTACTTTGTTATTTGTTCAAACTTGCCTGCATTTTTAAATTTGTCTTTTGACGTCTAATCTGTGATATGGAAACATATGGGGCTATGTCCGGCGTCCGTCGTTCATGCATTCGTCACCAATTGGGTTGTTAACAGTCTTAGCCAAGTCACGGTATTGATTGAATCTTCATCAAACTTTTTGTCAGAATGTTTGTCCGTCAATAAAATAGAGGGCGCTTCATCAATTCAACTTTTAATGGTTGAATGATATTTTGTTCTGATCCTTTAATGAAAAATTGTTTTTGCTGAGTCTGTAATGAATTTTGTGTCTCCTAACACACAGTAGCTGCAACATGCATCTGGCTATCATCAGGCAACACATATGATCACTAATCACTCTTGTATAAAAGGAATGGGACTGTCTTTTTATATTTTAACTGTTGATCAATTGATATTATAACAGTTCATCTTTTGGAATATACATATGTGGTCAATTCAGATCAAGTCGACAATGAACAAATAAGCATCATAATTATAAACGATGATCGACAATGAACAAATTAGCATCGTATCATTTTACTTTGCACATACAAAAGTTAAGAGAAACTAAGTTATTCACTTTTAGCATGGACAATTTAAAAAAGCAAACCACAGAGATACAGTTATAAATTTGCAAAAGAAAAAGAATATGTGAATATGATAATATTCAAGTATGTTAATGAATAATTTTGTGTAATTTTGCTTTAGAAATGCCAATCATTCTTAAAGTTATTGTAAACTTACAATTTTGAAATGATGATAATTTAATATTTTATTTTATTCATGAACATACATGTATACCATTTCATTATCGTTTTTTCTGTGACTTTCATAATGATTACTTATTTTACTCTCCGTTAAAGAGATGTTGCATATGTATCATTTTAACATTACTTGTTTTTTTTATACAATGTAGTTAGAAAATGACACCATGGTCATTGGAAAAGATGACATAACGAAAGTACTAGATGATGTTGCAAAAGCAGCTCGTGACACTATAAAAGATGACCTAAAAAGGACGTCTGAGACTGTAAAAGAAGATATGATTAAGAGAAGAAAAGAAGATCTTCATTCTCTTGGCTCAAAAGCTAATGAAGAATTACAAAAGATACAAACTAAATCTGATGATTCTTTAAAAACAATTAAAACTAAAACTGACAATAGCGTCAAAGACATAGAAAAGGCAAGAGACAATTCAGTTCAAATAATGCATCTAAAGAAAGAGGACATTGAGGAAAAGGTAAAAACAGAAAGCAAGAAAATAACAGAAGAATGTGAAAGAGCAGTTGAAACTATCAAAGACGAGGGAGATAAAGGGAGAAATGATTTAGCCAATTTCGCAGAGACTGTAGAAAAAACACTCTACACAAGGATTACGGACGACAAGAAGAAACAGTACAATGATAATAAACAGAGTAAGTAGCGGAGACATATTTTACATTTTTAATGTCCATGAGTACAGCCTCCGACCGTCCATACTTCCTTCCATCATTTAATTTTTTTATTTCAGACAAATTTACACAAAAATGTTTTGCTCAATGAGGCAATGTCTTGCGTCTGTTGCTCGAAAGGTCAAGGTCACACATTGACTCTAACGGAAATTTGTCATAGTTAGTGTACTGATGTTCGTTTCCTGTCATCAATTTTGTTATTCCTGGATGGATTTCAAAACCACTTTGCATAAAAGTGTTGAACATAATGACAATGTTTCGCGCTCAAGAATAAGGCTGGTAGCTTAAAGTTCAAGGTCACACATAAAATCAAGTGCAGATATAAATCATTGGCTTGTCTTATTTCATCCATCCGTCCGTCAGTTATTTTGAAATTGAAACTGCTTAGCAGAATTGTTAACCATAAAGCAGGGTTCGTACAGTCTTAAAAAGTGCTTAAATTTCAGTCTCTTTCTTAAAAAGTGCTTAAAAATGATAAAAAGTGCTTAAAAGTCCTTGAATTTGATTACTCTCTTGAAAAGTGCTTAAAAAGTGCTTAAATTCGCTACAAATTTGCTTGAAAATAATTGAATGACAGACTAGTGTCAGTAAAAATCAACAAACAAAAAACAAAACAGATCTTGTTCAGTATCAAGATCAATGAATTTTGTAATGTTTGCTCAATGTAACAGGCACATATTGCAATTGATTTGAACTTCACTTCAACCCCTCTATAATGCTCATGTTGTGTTCCAAGGTCTCAATACAGCATTTAGCAAGATTCTGATATGTAACTCATCGCAAGATCACCACATTACCCCACCCACTGCAATTATGTATAATGCTAATGATTTTCACTTACCATTCAATGATTATTGACATTATTTTTGTAAAACAATTTAATAATGTAGATATATATAATATTGTGATGTTGTAGTATTTATATTTAAAAGAAACGGAAAACCTACGAAAGAAAAACATAAATCACAAATGGAAACAGTAGTAAGGGTTTTAACAGGGGGCCGTACAACAGGTTGTCAGTTAAGTTTGTATTTGTTGCTATCTTTGTTGTCATCTATAGAAACTGTAGCCAGAAAATGTATTTTCATCATGAAATGATTGTCACGGTTCAGAACTGTTCACTATTTAGGGGAGAAGATGTGTAAGCGGCCGGATAGCTCAGTCGGTAGAGCCGCGGAACGGTATTCCGAGGGTCCCGGGTTCGAGTCCCGGTCAGGCTGCACATTTGTCTCACCCTGTGACATTTGGCGCCCAACGGGGGACCGTGACTGCTTATAGCTCAGAGTTCAATTAACATTGCTCTGTAGCTTTGTGAAATTCGAGGACGAATTTCAATATTGTGTTGAAGTATGTCACGGTTCAGAACTGTTCACTATATAGGGGAGACGATGTGTAAGCGGCCGGATAGCTCAGTCGGTAGAGCCGCGGTACGGTATTCCGAGGGTCACGGGTTCGAGTCCCGGTCAGGCTGCACATTTTTCTCACCCTGTGACATGATCAAGAAATGACTTATAAATTAATATTGGTTAAACATTGTGTAGGATATAGACGCAACAAATTGTGCTTGAAAAATGGAAAAACATGCTTAAAAAGTGCTTAAAAAGTCCTTGAATTTTGATACTGGATACGAACCCTGTAAAGAGAACATGTGTGCAGAGCACATGATTGACCTTCATTGGGTCAAAATCAAGGTTTGTAACAATTTTGTATCCACTCTGTATCTCTTGAATCAATTGAAATAAAGTGAAATTTTTGGCAGAAATATTACTTATGTAGACAATGAGCAGAAATAACTTTGTGCTTCCTGATATAAAAAACTGGTCCCGCCCAAGAAATTTCTTGATTTTTATTGTGTAAAACTATTATGTCTGGAGCTTAGATAAAAAATGAAAAGAAAATAGAAGGAAAAATGCCGGGACACAGTGGAATGTACGTTGTAAGCGGTACCTCATTAAAACCGATCTCGTTATAAGTGGAGTAGACTGTATTTAGCATGTAACATTGCCTTGTTAACCTTTACAAAATTGATTTCAGTCATGCCCCTAGGTTTGATATTGGCCCTTTCCAAGGGGTCACTTGATTTTATATAGACTTATATTGGATAATACCTCTAAAATTTATTGTGTATTTTAAACAACGATGCTAAGGGCTTAGATACTTTGTCATTTTACATCACATTTGTGGACCACACAACCAATGGTATAAATCATGCCCCTTGGGTCTATATTGTCCTCATTATATTGGACTTATTTTATATAGTTTTGTATAGGAAAACACATTTATTTTGGTTAAACTACAAAGTCTAGAGTTTAGATATTTGACAAAAAGCATTGCCTTATTGGCTTCTACAAAACAGATATTTATGATGACCCTGGGGTCAATATTGGCCCGTACCAGGGTCACTTGATTTTTATAAACCTATATAGCAAAACACATTTAAGTCTTAATTAATGTGTAAAACTACAGAGCTGGGTGCCCAGAACTTACATATTTGACATGTATTTGACAATTTGTAGATTGCTATAAAATGGAAATACCCTCAGGTCAAAATTGGCCCTCTCCCCTTAGTCACTTGATTCATGTAGACTATGGTATAGAAAAAACCCATCTTTTTGTGGATAAATACTGACCTCAATAAAAGTTTTTTATTAACTCTCCCATAATGGAATTATTATTTTTGATTATTCAAAATTTAAATTCAGGCATATACCTTTGCGGTGTTTTTGTTTAAGTTGTCGGTATCAAAAATAAAACGCTCTACCAGTCCTCCGATCGTCTGACGTATTCTCAGCCCATCCTAAATTTATGTCACTTTCTGTCTGGACCTAAATGAACTGCTAGGCTATCCTGGTCGTCAGATCACTTATTAGCTCACCTTGCACAAAGTGCAGGTGAGCTTTTAGGATGGCCAACCAAATGGCGTCCGGCGTCCGTCCACATTTTAAATATTCTAAGGACATCTTCTATGATACCGCAAGGCCAATGTTAATGAAACTTGGCAGGAATACTCTTTGTATGAAGCTCTATCAAGATTGTTCAAAGAATTCCATTTCATGCAGAACTCTAGTTGCCATGGCAACCGAAAGAAAAATCCTTAAATATCTTCTTTTAAAGAACCGTAAGAGCTAGAGCTTAGATATTTGGCATGAAACATCTTCTAATGAGTGTCTACCAAGTTTGTTCAAATAAAAGCCCTAGGGTCAAAATTGGCCCGGCCCCAGGGGGTCATTGATTTTCCCTATATGCATATAGTAAAAACTTAAAAAATCTTCTTTTAAAGAACCCAAAGAGCTAGAGCTAAGATATTTGGCATGAAACATCTTCTAGTGAGTGTCTACCAAGTTTGTTCAAATAAAAGCCCTGGGGTCAAAATTGGCCCCGGCCCGGGGGTCATTGATTTTCCCTATATGCATATATAGTAAAAACTTAAAAAATCTTCTTTTAAAGAACTGTAAAAGCTAGAGCTTAGATATTTGGCATGAAACATTTTCTAGTGAATGTCTACCAAGTTTGTTCAAATAAAAGCCCTGGGGTCAAAATTGGCCCCGCCCCAGGGAGTCATTGATTTTCCCTATATATGCATATAGTAAAAACTTAAGAAATCTTCTTTTAAAGAACCCAAAGAGCTAGAGCTAAGATATTTGGCATGAAACATCTTCAAGTGAGTGTCTACCAAGTTTGTTCAAATAAAAGCCCTGGGGTCAAAATTGGCCCCACCCTGGGGGTCATTGATTTTTGAAAGGTGAAAATAAGCTATGTTATGTTTAAAAAATCTTTTCTATTATGGCCGAAAATTTGTTTTACATTGGTGATTATGACATTTTTCAGTAAGTTATTCAGAAAAATTTTAGGCTGCATTCTGTGAATGAGTTTGCAAGTGTTATTTCTGTAAGCTAATATGACCTTGATCTACTGTGAAATGTGGAAATTGACAGTGGTTATAGCTGACAAAATTTGATAAGAACAAACAAAAGAAATTGTCTGATAACAGCATTATGTAAAGTTATAATAAATCTTTAATATTATTGTTATACTGTAATTATACTTTATATTTAGTATATAACATTTTCATTCTGTTATATAATAACAATTAAAGTTATGGTTCTATTAAAAAAGGTAGTTAATATACACAAATGTATCAGTTTATTTGAGAATCCTTTTAAAACTGAGAAAGTTTTATATGTAATGTTTATTTAATCAACTTCTTATGTTGTTAATCACTAAATCGGGAATAGTCCGCTGAACTTTTGGCTATTATATCTTAAGTTAAAAATATTGGCTATATTGTTTTATTTGAGCCAGTGTGAGCCCTGTATAAATAAATAAATATATATTGGCAAACCTGATATGATTACACTGAATCAAGAATAATTTCGAAGAAAATTAATATTTTAATGATCATTATTTTCCAATGAATCAGATGTTTAAAGAAAAGAACTTAAAGCGCCTTATTATATATGATTACATTTTTTCTTTTTTTTAACCTTACAACTTAAAGTACTTCCCCTTTAATTATCCCCCGCCGAAAAATTTCGGCGGAGGATATAGAAAAAGTTC